TCAAATCGTACTTTCTTGTTTATTTGACCTGTTGATACTAATTGTAATGCTTTTTTTGTTATTTAATGTTATTCAGGGTTATATCTGGTCTATATACCAGCTTTGATAAGTGTTTGGTATTACTATAAATTTTCACTTCGTACTATGAACATCAAATTTATTTATTTTGTAAAAATATTTCCTTTCTCTATTGGAACTGTACACGTATACCTAACAACAAAATTATTTTCATTTACCTGTGTTTAAAATAATTGCTAATGGCTGATATTTTTGTTCGAGCACATTGTTTTTCTTAAATTGTTTAACATTTCATACCGATATTACATGTTACTTTTATTATTCTTCCCTTAGTTTATTTATTTTGTATTTGCATTGTATCATAGATCAAATTTATTTGTTCATTGTATGTTAATTGGTGTTAATATGTCCTTTGATTGAGTTAAGCTATTTCAGTTGATATTTTATAGTGTGATTTCTATGTTGTGATGTTACACTATTGTTTCAGAAAAAGGGTGAAGGTTTGGTACCATTAAAACGTTTAAACCCGCTGCATTTGTTTGCACCTATCCTAAGTCAGGAATCTGATGTTCAGTAATTGTCGTTTGTTGATGTGGTTCATAAGTGTTTCTCGTTTCTCGTTTTTTATATAGATTAGACCGTTGGTTTTCCCGTTTGAATGGTTTTACACTAGTAATTTTTGGGGCCCTTTATAGCTTACTGTTCGGTGTGAGCCAAGGCTCCGTGTTGAAGACCGTACTTTGACCTATAATGGTTTACTGTTTTTAAATTTTGACTGGGATGGAGAGTTGTCTCATTGGCACTCATACCACATCTTCTTATATCTAATTGATATTAGAATTTCTGTCGAATCTTCATGCCAAAATTTGTGACTTTTGTCATATAATTAATTTTTCCATTCCGTGGTGGTTCTTTTTATGCAGTAGATAAGAAGGGATATTGTGTATTCATAAAACAAAACAAATTTTTTCTTATAAACACATTACAAAAAAAATGAACAGGAGAATTTTTAATTTATTGCTTTTATTTATCTCAAGGTCACAGAAATGTCTTTAACTGAAGTATAATACAAACGCTTGCGCCTTACAAGTTCAAGACGACCCTCAACACTGATTTTAGCGGGGTTCTTTGAACATTGAGGTTCTCAGAGCCAATACAAGCAAATAGAAAGCCTCAAGCAGTTTACTTTTCTAAGTTGGTTCGTTATGATATATACTGATAATATCACGTCTGTGTCAAGTCTGGTGAATGATAAGTTGACTACTATTTGTTTATTCAACATTGGCTAGAGGTAAAGGGGAAGGTTGAGATCAGGAACATTTAGTCTTTGTTAGGCTTGTGTTTTTTTCTTCAAATTTAGGTTCATTTGCATGTTCCGGAGTTTAGTGTGGCGTCCATGTCGCTGAACTAGTATCGTTATTGTTTAGGGGCCAGCTTATGCCCGCCTCTGGATGCGGGATTTTATGGGCGCGTTGAAGACCCATTGGTGGCCTTGATCTGCTCTTTGGTCGGGTTGTTGTCTCTTTGACACATTCCCCGATTCCGTTCTCTATTCTAACCTATTCTAATAATATCACACATGTGGTAAGTCCAGTGAATGATAAGTAGACTAACAATATCATGTCTTTGTCAAGTCCAGTGAATGATAAGAAGACTAACAATATCATGTCTTTGTCAAGTCCAGTGAATGATAAGTAGACTAACAATACTATGTCTTTGTCTAAACCCAGTGAATGATAAGTAGACTAACAATATCATGTCTTTGTCAAGCCCAGTGAATGATAATTAGACTAACAATATCATGTCTTTGTCAAGTCCAGTGAATGATAAGTAGACTAACAATATCATGTCTCTGTCAAGTCCAGTGAATGATAAGTAGACTAACAATATCATGTCTTTGTCAAGTCCAGTGAATGATAAGTAGACTAACAATATCATGTCTTTGTCAAGTCCAGTGAATGATAAGTAGACTAACAATACATTGTCTTTGTCAAGCCCAAAGAATGATAAGTAGACTAACAATATCATGTCTTTGTCAAGCCCAGTGAATGATAAGTAGACTAACAATATCACGTCTTTGTCAAGTCCAGTGAATGATAAGTAGACTAACAATATCACGTCTTTGTCAAGTCCAGTGAATGATAAGTAGACTAACAATATCACGTCTTTGTCAAGTCCAGTGAATGATAAGTAGACTAACAATATCATGTCTTTGTCAAGTCCAGTGAATGATAAGTAGACTAACAATATCATGTCTTTGTCAAGTCCAATGAATGATAAGTAGACTAACAATATCATGTCTTTGTCAAGTCCAGTGAATGATGAGTTTACCTATAATATCACGTCTGTGTTGGGCCCAGTGAATGATAAGCTGATTAACGAGATAACACTGTGTCAGGCCTAATGAATTATACTCAGTGATAGCAAACTGACGTATGACATGACATCTGTGTCAGGTACAGTAAATTACAATCAGTGATAGCAAACATACTAATGATATCATATCTGTGTCAGGTACAGTAAATTTCACTTAATGATAGCAAACAGACTATGATTTCACATTTGTGTCAGGTCCTGTAAATTACACTCAATAATAGCTGTGTCAGATCCATTGAATAACACTCAGTGATAGCAAACAGACGAATAATATCACATTGGTGTCAGGTCTAGTGAAATGCACTCAACGAAAGCAAACACACTAATGATTACACATATGTGTCAGGTCCTGTAAATGACACTCAGTGATTGCAAACAGACAAATGACATCACATCTGTGTCAGGCACAGTAGATAAAACTCAATGATAGAAATCAATCTAATGAGATCGTATTTGTGCCAGGTCCAGTAAATTACACTCAGTGATAGCAAACAGAAATTATGATATCACATCTGTGTCAGGTGCAGTAAATTACAATCAGTGATATGAACAATGACATAACATCTGTGGCAGGTCCAGTGAATTACACTCAGTGATAGCAAACATACTTTTGATATTATAATTTCACAGGTCCTGTAAATTACACCCAGCGATGGCAAACAGACTAGTAGTAATAATATCACATCTGTGTCAGGTCTAGTGAATTGCACTCAATGAAAGCAAACAGACTAATGATTTCACATTTGTGGTAGGTCCTGTAAATTACACTCGGTGATTGAAAACAGAAAAATGACATCACATCTGTGTCAGGTACGGTACATTACTCTCAGTGATAGCAAACAAACTAATGAGATCGCATCTGTGTCAGGTCCAGTGAATTACATTCAGTGATAGCAAACAGAAATTATAACATCACATCGGTTTCAGGTCCAGTGAATTACATCAAGTGATAGCAAACAGACTTACGACATCACATCTGTGTCAGGTTCAGTGAATTACATTCAGTGATAGCAAACAGAAATAATGAAACCACATATGTGTCAGTTACACTCAGTGATAGCAAACATAGTTATGAAATCACATCTGTGTCAGGTACGGTAAATTACCATCGATGATTGCAAACAGAATAATGATATCACATCTGTGTCAGGTATGGTACATTACTCTCAGTGATAGCAAACAAACTAATGAGATCGCATCTGTGTCAGGTCCAGTGAATTACATTCAGTGATAGCAAACAGAAATTATAACATCACATCGGTTTCAGGTCCAGTGAATTACATCAAGTGATAGCAAACAGACTTACGACATCACATCTGTGTCAGGTTCAGTGAATTACATTCAGTGATAGCAAACAGAAATAATGATATCACATCTGTGTCAGTTACACTCAGTGATAGCAAACACAGTTATGACATCACATCTGTGTCAGGTACAGTAAATTACCATCGATGATTGCAAACAGAATAATGATATCACATTTGTGTCAGGTCTTGTGAATTACAGCTAGTAAAAGCTAACAGACTTATGACATTATATGTGTGTCAGGTCTAGTGAATTACACTCAGTTATAGCAAACAGGCTTATGATATCACGTCTGTGTCAGGTACTGTAAATTACACTCAGCGATAGCAAACAGACTAACATCGCATCTGTGTCAGGTCCAGTGAATTACAATCAGTGATAGCAAACAGAAATTATGACATCACATCGGTTTCAGGTCCAGTGAATTACACCAATCGATAGCAAACAGACTTATGATATCACGTCTGTGTTAGTGAATTACGCAAAGTGATAGCAAACAGACTAATGATATCACTTCTATGTCAGGTCCAGTGAAGAAACTACTAATAAGACTAATAAAAGCAGGTATATGTCAGGCCCAGTAAATTGTAAGCAGGCTTATGACTACGGGTATTTGTCAGGTCTAGTGAATTACACTTAGAATTAGCAAAAGACTAACGTAATTAGTTGGTGTCAGGCCCTATAAATGATAAGCTGACAACTTTTTGCAAATCTGTCCTCTGGTTGATAGTTCTTCATGACACCTTATCTCCTTTATGTTTTATTACATCTGTGTCACGCCCATTGAAAACAACAAGTGATAACAGATGCCTACACACATCACTTATGTGTCTGGTCCAAAGAAGGATTCATGATCATTAACTGACTAAAATATGACATCACATGAGGCAGTGTGGTCTTCTGTTGTACGATTTCATCACTATCCAAGATTAGAGGAGGGTTGAGTGCACACAAATATGTTTAACCCCTCCACATTTTGTATGTTCCTGTCCCAAGTTATGAGCTTGTACAATGTACTTTAGTGCTTGTTGGTTTTTTTTGATGTCTGTCATATTTGTTTTTCGTTTATAGTTTAGTCATAAATGAGGCTGTTGGTTTCTTGTTTGACTTGCCTCAAATAATGTCATGTCAGTGCCTTTTGAAGCTGACCATATGGTAGAGGCTTTATTAATTTTTGAAGATGGTACAGTGACCTATAGTTGCTTACATCCATGTCATTTGGAATCTGGTTGATAGATGTCTCATTGGCAATTATACCACATCTCCTGATTTTCATATTATATAAATAACACCAAACAACATTTACTTATGTAAAAGATATATTTTATTTTATTTCCTTTACCATTCTGTAAAGTTTTAGTAGCAATATATTTACAGCATTATTAAAAAAGAATTTACAAAAATGTACAAGTCATAAAAAGACTACGGTATGTGCATAATTATTTCTTCGTCCAGAATGTATTAATTTCCTAGTACATGTATACTGTATCATAAACTTGAATTGAAATTTTCTTGATTAATCAATGTAATGTCATATTTCTAGTGTAAAAAATAAGTCTTTTCCTGTTGTAAAATTAATGCCTTACATAAATTTCCTGATATAACAATACTTTTATATAAATTTTATATTAGTAAACATTACTTCCATGAATAAACTCAAGTTTCTTACATTATCAAGTTGTAATTATATTTAAAATATTTATAAACTTTAGTGTACAAAAAAAATATGTTGTGTTAATAAAATAATTTGTTTTTACATTTCAATTAATCAATGTGAAAGAAAACTTTTGATGGTCTAGTGCCCATAGCAACCTTATAAGCATCTGAATACCCAGGATGTAAAAATACACATTTTAAAAACATTGTTTTGGATAAATTATATTGTGTTTGGCAACTTTCTGGCTTTTTTCGAAGAGACTTGAAGAAAAAGTGTCCCAACTATCAAAAGTATGTGGCACATCTTTGATGTGGCAAAATAAACATTTTTAATCATTCATCATAATCAATTATTAAGCTTATTTTATAATTGAACTGATTTGGTATTAAATCTACCATTGAGAAATGTAAGCTATTATTTAGAAAACCATTATTATAATTACTTTTTCTATGGAATGTCAAAAATGTTCTATCACTCCTGCAAGCTGGTAAATAATTGAGGTATACAAGTATCTATTTTTGCATTTTAAATTGATCTGCAAAAATTCAATCCCAAAATCAACATGTTTCTATATAAAAATTGTGAAAATATGAAACAAATAAACTAGGGATGTGGAACCGTATCTGCGATTCTTTTCCCTGGTAATCTCACGATTAAAATACAACGTAAGTCAGGCTGAAATGATAAAATGGCTTACAGGTATTTACTCTAGGATTTTTTGAGAAAAGAGCCACTGGTTTCCTGAAAAATTTCCTGTACAATTAGAGAAAACAGTTGGGTGTTTAATGACAATTTATCTTTTTCAATGGATCTGGTTACTTTCTGGTTTAATCTTTTTTCTAACTCAATGGATCTGGTAACTTTCTGGTTTAATCTTTTTTCTAACTGACTGAGTTACTATGAAACAAAATGACCTTCCATGATGAGAGAATGAAAATTTATATTCATGTGTGCAAAACTAAGTGTCACCTGGCACTGCATTATAATTAACAGATTTAATGATTTTCAAACAAATATTTTATGGAGAGTGAAGTATTTCCAGAATTATGATTTTTGATAAACAGAAAAGACAAAGTTTTAGCTTCTTAAAAAGCTTGTAAACACCATATAAATATTTATCAACTTGACATAAATCAGCTGTTAACCATGATTCTTTTTATCTTCTTTTGCAAATAAGAGGCACATTTTATTAAAACATTGACTTTAAATTCAAATATATTGCTCCTAACCTTGCCTTTTTCATTAGTAATCTTTTATTTTCTACATACAAGTTATTTAAAACAAATATTACATCTAGTATATCCATTTAAAAAGTGTTCACAAAGTAACAAAAACAATCATAGGGCCAAACTCAAAGGAAATTAGAATTTTCAGGTAGCCTGACTATATGTGGCAGCGATGGTAAACACTACTCTTCATCTTTTCCTATTTTTTCAGTGTCAAATTATGTTTTCATGGGTTTATGGGGTTGGAATGCCCTTTTTCTTCATATTTGTTTTCAAATTACCAAAAATTTGACAAAAACTAGCCTGCAAAACCCCCAGCCCCTTCTAGTTACATGCATGATATGGCTTTAACAAAATGTCTGCCCCAAGACTGTTTGAAGCAACTACATGTTGTGTTTAGTATAAACATTTTTTTTCTTCTTCACATGGACAAAATATGTTTAAACTAAGCAAGACGTGTAGCTGCTTAAAAACAGTCTTGGGGCAGAAATGTTTTGTACTACATATGACGATTTTTAATACTGAAATCATAAAGTGAAATGATATGACACACCACTGATAAATGCAATGCCAACTAATTTGTCAACTGGTGTATGAAATTATCATGTCATGCTAAAGTTTGCACCAAAAAGTATTACACACACACACACATACACATATATGTCCTACTGCCAATATATATTATTGTAAACTTGTTTCTTGATACATGAAATTTTGTGCCACTGTTTGATAAATTGAAGGAATGAATTGAGCATCATGCTGGTAAATTATGCCACATTCAAAAATTCAAAATTATACTTTGAATATTTTTTATTACAGATGAAATAATACAATATATGTATTTACAACTGGCAGCTTCAATGTTTATATTCAATGTTTAAAATATTGTCAATATTTCTTAAAAAAAAAAAATCATTTGTTCAAATGAAGCGAAAAATTATTTCATAAGTTTTACAATTTAGATAAAATTTCATTTCCTCAAAGACATTCTTAATAAATTATTCGTGCATTTATCAAAATATCTGTTTATTACACAAGATTTCAATGTAAAAAAAAACTAAAAAAAAACATGCTGCAAAATTCAACTTGTGACAATATGTTCAGTAATTGACGATTTTGTTGAAGTACGATGATTGGTCTCATTTTTTCAAATTCATTTGTTCCTAATAATCCATGCTATTTGTTCTCATGGCTACAATTAAATAACTACATAAGAAAAATTCTAATTTGCAGTAAAAAGTATCCATGGAAAAGATATTTATGGAAGAACATATATTCTAACATTCTTAAAATCATATTGACTGACAGACATTATAAAATATGGATTTAAAGTAAAGTTGGTAATTTCTAAACAAAGTGGTGAATGAGATTTAATGACGTGTCTTTGTCTGTAACCTTAATAACAATCTTATAACCAAAACAGAGCCCAAGTCACAGTCAACCATCACCAAACTTAGTACAATGCTTAGATGAACTCTTGAAAGCTTCAATAACTGGTACTTCATTTACATTTTAGGATAACATATTCTCAATAAATCAAAAGTTTTACGCTTAAAATAAATAAATGCACCCATAGTTAGGCTTAACATATACTACAAAAAAAGAAAAGTTAGTATTTCAAAATAATATTTGTTCTACAAGCTCTCACTAACCTATTAGTTCCTATTTATTTACAAATAATCACAGAAATTATCATTAAAATATAAAAGTTATAAATTCTAACTCTTAAAAAAACAACCTTTTATTTGATGAAAATATAATTTAAAATTTATAAATATGAGAACAACCATGCATTCCTATATATATAACATATATATATAGGGTTTGATATGTACATATATAAAGTCTGTATATATATATAATATCATATAAAAGTTAACAATATATACCTTTACAGCTAATAACATGATAAAAGCAATGGTAAGTACAGATTCCCTTTACTGAACCCCTAATAATCATTCATTTCCAGTAAAGATTCCATGTATTGAAACTACAGATCATTAATTTTGAGTTTAAGCAATGCCCATGACAGTATGACAATGATTGTACGGAAATATACAAGCAACAACTTGTCCAATATATAATGTACAATGGTAATGTTGGGGGTACCCTCCAAAAAATGTAAAATAGAGGTAATCTCAACACACTGTTGCATAATTACACTGTGAAATCAGTATCCAAATATCCTGTAACAAAAAAAAAAGGAACACCCCCCAAAAAAAACAAACCAAACCCATCATGAAATCTAAATGACTTTTAAATTAATATTTAGATAATATAAAAGAAATGGTCATAATTGACAGCTAATCCCCTTGCCATGTTATTATTGTTTGTTTTCAAATTGAATACATTACTGAGTGAAGGTCAAGGTCTCATAATTCATGTGTGTACCTTAATCGATAAACATGTGCATCAACTGACAAATGATTATCCTCTATGATTTGTAGTTGCTTAAATTAAGATCTTAAAGACAAAACTTAACCAGGACAAATGTATGTTAGAACTAAAGAATGAACAAACATGTTTTATTCCCTCCCAAACCTAGTTGGGTCAGGGGATAATAAATTTATACTAGTATATTATACATAAAAAAAGTTCACAATACAACTTGCATGTATCAGCAAATGTGAAAACATGTAGTTAACAACCCAATTTATGACAAAAATCCATTACTTTTTTACAATTTGTCAAAATCATTTTCTTGGTGGTCTTACAATACAAATACTAATTTCAATTACACATGTATATATCATTTTGGCCTAAAAAATGTTTAAAAAAGTATCAATTCGATCATGGTAATGTATGGAATGTGAGTTTGTCTCAGTGGTCTCTGGGAGATAACTGTAAACATTCAGCTAATGACAGACATCTGTAACTTATTCAACGTAATAATGAGTACACTTTCCATACAAACAAAACAAATGATGATTTAAATTTCACCAAACTTATATACAATGTAAAGACTTAGAACATGAAGTCAGTCTATTTGCTTAGTTTTCAATGACTGATTTATTCCAGGGTTAGTGGTAAGAAATTAAGGACCAACAATAATGTACAGTGCACATGATATTTTTTACTTGGTCATTTGTTTGTACTGTATGAACAGGGTTTGAAATCAACTTTTTGAACATGACTTCGTATCTTTTTGAACAATTAGATTTAACTGTATTAATGCTTCTTTTTGTAAGTTCATTGAAATATTAAATGTTGATCATGGCGCATTTTGAATGATGCACAAAAAACTGCACAAACAGTCCATGCTTTTACAACCATGCGAAAAAAGAAAAAAGATGCATTTAAATCTTAAAATGTATACTTGTCTCATTGGCACTCATACCACATCTTCTTATTTGTATTTACACAATCGATAAAAAAACATTATTCATATTTAATAATTTCTTAATATCAGTTGCAAAAATTCCTGCTCAATAGCATTGCTGATGTACTGATAAAATAAAATCATGAAAATGTGTTAACTTAAATTTTGTTTTAACTGGATTATCATGATTATGAAGAATCAATCTAAATTAAAGTCACATGATGAAATTTGCACCAATAAAATTCAAGATTCAATGAAACATACAGATATAAAGTTATCAGTTAAATATGAGGTGTAAGAGGAAGGCTGTTAATGTTTTCAAATTTTAAACCCTGGAATCGGGTGTGGAAATGTATGCAAATAAACTATATTCAGTTAACAATCACTCTTAGTGGCAATTTTTCAGGGTGAATCTTGGTGATTTTAAGTGATTTACTCTGAAATTTCTATGAATTATTCATAGGCTATATATCACTGGGTTATAAATCAAAGAGTTTTGTCAACAAAAATCACTAGCAATCACAGTTTCACATTGATCCACTCAACACCAGCAACAGCGATTTTTCACTAAGTCACCTTGTGTGTACTATGGAAACAAATGACAACCACCAGCATTCACAGTGAATCACTCAACACCAGCTAAAGAGATTTTCACAAAGTCACCTTTTCTGTACATTTTTACAATGGCAAATGCAATATATGGTTACAAATGTAAGGTGACTATAATTCACATTAGCAATAAACAAAAACAAAAAATATAAATAACTGGCTTATTACTTTTATATTATTCACGATATTTGACTATTATTAATATATGATTTATTTATAACACGGCAGTTAACTAAACAAACAAAACAACCTAACGGCAATGATAAATAAACACTATCCAGGGACTAACACATGACTCCCATGAATATAAACAATCACATTCCCATCCTTCCACACAGTATGAACAACGCTTTGATATTTACTTATAAATTCTCTAAACTTGTTTTAAAATGATAAACATCCAATCAAATTTAACACTTAACAATCCATACAACCTTTGTGTGCATGTCAATTCTTACACAATCACGAATAATAGCTCATATCAAATCTTTCATATGTGAAGTTTCTGATATAAGAATTTTGCCGTAAACACTGACTTGCCATGCTGTATTTCTGGTATGTTCCATCATTCATTGCCAATTTCACTCTTCTTATGTTTTCTGTATGTCTGTCATTATTTCAATTGTCTGCTCAACAACTAAATAACATTCCAGTTATATATGATCCAGATTACTGTGGAATGCCATGCTTTAATTTAACAATCCTTGTATAACTAGCACTTTAAAAAGTTATTTTATAAAATTTTTCTTCAGCATGGACTATGTCTGAAACTCCTCATTAGTGGCACAAGGCAAGATGGTTTATCTGCTCCTCTTAAGAACGGATGCTGTAATAATTCTGACGCGGTTGCTCTCTGCATGGGATCTCGCACCAACATTCTTTCTAAGAATCCTTGTAATCTTGGTGAAACCTATGGCAATAGAATTTTCGATTTTAAATCTTCATTCAGATCAAATATTCAAAATAAAAGTAAAGACATGATCAAGGGAGATGTGTTGTACAGGTTTATGAGACAGTAATCCAACAACACAAAAATGCAAAAGAAAAACCATCCAGAGATCAGTACACTTATCTATCAACGACTGAAACTATGTTAAGACTTTTTGTCAACTTTTAATTAATGTTTACATGCAAAAGAACACATGACTGAATTTTGTAATCATGTCAACAGAATTGATTGATTGATGGTATTTAACACCACTTTCAGCACTATTGGCTATATCATGGCGGTCAGATTTTATTGGTGCAGGAACCCTGAGTGGCCAGAGAGAACCACAGACTGACAATCCTAGTCAAATAAGATGGAAGTCAAACGCACCTGTCAAGTCGCAAGTACTCATTCACAACTTCAGTGTTAAATAGATATTATACAGTAGATGAACTACTCAAAGCACTCAGCAATTGAGGCCCAACAATAATACTGAACACTTCTTCCACTGAAAATAACCATCTATAATGTGAGAAACAAGATGTTTTCTTGAGTTCTGTTCTTATGATTTTCCAAGTTTCATACACCAAGACTCCATTAGTTTTCTACTTATTCTTTTAAACATAAACAAAATGCTTCGCTGGGCACAGTTTGATACGACCGCAGAGGTCGAACCCTGAACAGTTGGGGCAAGTATGGACACAACATTCAAGCTTGATACAGCTCTGAATTTGGATTGTGATTAAATATTTGACACAGCATAGGTTTCTGACACAGAAAGAATGTGGTCTAAGAACTTGAATTTTTTAAATTTACCTATTATGGTCCAATGTCCAAAATCAAAATACATGGTTAGATTCAGCATATCAAAGAACCCCATATATTCAATTTTTATTGAAATCAAACAAAGTTTAATTTTGGACCCCAACTTGGACCAACTTGAAAACTGGGCCCATAATCAAAAATCTAAACACATGATTAGATTCAGCATATCAAAGAACCCCAAGCATTCAATTTTTGTTAAAATCAAACTAAGTTTAATTTTGGACCCTTTGGACCTTAATGTAGACCAATTTAAAAAACGGGACCCAAAATTAAAAATCTAAAAACACGGTTAGATTTGGCATATCAAAGAACCCCAATAATTCAATTTTTGATGAAATCAAACAAAGTTTAATTTTGGACCCTTTTGACCTCAATATGAACCAATTTGATAGCGGAGCCCACAAATAAAAAATCTAAATGCATGGTTAGATTCAGCATATCAAAGAACCCCATATATTCAATTTTTGTTGAAATCAAACAAAGTTTAATTTTGGACCCCAATTTGGACCAACTTGAAAACTGGGCCAAAAATCAAAAATCTAAATACAGGTTTAGATTCAGCATATCAAAGAACCCCATATATTCAATTTTTGTTAAAATCAAACAAAGTTTAATTTTGGACCCTTTGGACCTTAATGTAGACCAATTTGAAAACTGGACCCAAAATTAAAAAATCTAAATACACGGTTAGATTCGGCATAACAAATACATAAATGTGGTCAAAGATTTTTCAAATCTAATGCGCCATACTGTGCAATTAAAGATTACTTCTCGAAATTTTTCAATATTTGAAATTTGAAAAAAAAATAATATTTGAAGAATAATTCTTTTTAATTTCTGAAATCTGAATGAGAAAAAATTGACCCCCCACAATTTCTTTTACCCCCCCCCCCCCTCCCCCTCTTTTTTTCCCCCAAAAAATTCTTTCCCTCAAGATATGGTCATAATCTCAATTCAAATTTCCAATGGAGTTTGCAACCATAATTACCCATTTAAATTTACCATAGTGCTAACTTAATCTATTTTATAATAGAATTTAAAATATAGTGTCAAATCTTTCATATGGATTTTTTTGTAAAAAAAAAAGATGCAACATTTGCAGATATTTTTACTGGTCTTCCTTTATAAATATGCATTTCTTTAAACATAATTTAAAAGCAGTGTAAGGGAAGTAACCAAAACGTTGTATTTGGATTACCTCCCTTACACTGTTTTAAATTATCTTAATTGTTTATTAACTATTACTTTATACATAATTTAAAAGCAGTGTAAGGGAGGTAATTTCAATGATGTATTTGATTTACCTCCCTTACACTGCTTTAAATTATGTTTTGTACTAAAGTATTTGTCCATTTACCAGGACAACCTTGTTTTTCCCCCTTTTTTGCCCCTAATTCCTAAACGGTTTGAGCCATAACCCCCAAAGCAAATCCTAACCATCCCTTTGTGGTATGGAAACTTGTAGTATAATTTCAGTGAGATCCATACACTGTTCCAGAGTTATTGTCTGGAAACTAGAAAATGCTTATTTTTGGCCCCTAATTCCTTACCTGTTGGTACCATAACCCCCAAAATCAATCCCTACCTTCCTTTTGTGGTATTTAACCTCATGGTAAAATTTCAAAGAGATCCATTCACTTAAACTAAAGTTAGAGTGCGAAAACCAATGTGTCTTCGGACGACGACGACAACGTCATACCAATATACGACTGATTTTGCGGTCGTATAAAAACAAGAGTGCACACGTTGAAATGTTTCGCCTTCTTTACTTATCATTGATATTATGTTGATAGTCCTAAATATAAAGCTTTATTACAACTGTCACATAAACTTAACATTAACCAAGTAAACTAAACATTGACCAATGAACCATGAAAATGAGGTCAAGGTCAGATGACACCTGCCAGCTAGACATGTACACCTTACAATCATTCCATACACCAAATATAGTTGACCTATTGCATACAGTATAAGAAAAACAGACCAAAACACAAAAACTTAACTATAACCACTGAACCATGAAAATGAGGTCAAGGTCAGATGACACCTGCCAGTTGGACATGTACACCTTACAATCATTCCATACACCGAATATACTAGACCTATTGCTTATAGTATCTGAGATATGGACTTGACCACCAAAACTTAACCTTGTTCACTGATCCATGAAATGAGGTCAAGGTCAAGTGAAAACTGTCTGACTGGCATGAGGACCTTGCAAGGTACGCACATACCAAATATAGTTATCCTATTACTTATAATAAGAGAGAATTTAACATTACAAACAAGAGTGCACACGCTGAAATGTCTCGCCTTCTTTACTAATCATTGATATTATGTTGATAGTCCTAAATATAAAGCTTTATTACAACTGTCACATAAACTTAACATTAACCAAGTAAACTAAACATTGACCAATGAACCATGAAAATGAGGTCAAGGTCAGATGAACCATGCTAGGCAGGCATGTACAGCTAACAATTCTTCCATACAACAAATATAGTTGACCTATTGCTTATAGTTTAAGAAAAACAGACGAAAACACAAAAACTTAACACTGAGCAATGAACCTTGAAAATGAGGTCAAGGTCAAATAAAACCTGCGTGACTGACATATAGATCATAAAATATTTCCATGCACCAAATATAGTTGAACTATTGCATATAGTATTAGAAAAAAAGACCAAAACTCAAAAACTTAACTTTGACCACTGAACCATGAAAATGAGGTCAAGGTAAGATGACACCTGCCAGCTAGACATGTACACCTTACAATCATTCCATACACCAAATATAGCTGACCTATTGCATGCAGTATTAGAAAAAAAGACCAAAACTCAAAAACTTAACTTTGACCACTGAACCATGAAAATGAGGTCAAGGTAAGATGACACCTGCCAGCTAGACATGTACACCTTACAATCATTCCATACACCAAATATAGCTGACCTATTGCATGCAGTATTAGAAAAAAAGACCAAAACTCAAAAACTTAACTTTGACCACTGAACCATGAAAATGAGGTCAAGGTCAGATGACACCTGCCAGCTAGACATGTACACCTTACAATCATTCCATACACCAAATATAGTAGACCTATTGCATACAGTATAAGAAAAACAGACCAAAACACAAAAACTTAACTATAACCACTGAACCATGAAAATGAGGTCAAGGTCAGATGACACCTGCCAGTTGGACATGTACACCTTACAGTCCTTCCATACACCGAATATACTAGACCTATTGCTTATAGTATCTGAGATATGGACTTGACCACGAAAACTTAACCTTGTTCACTGATCCATGAAATGAGGTCGAGGTCAAGTGAAAACTGTCTGACGGGCATGAGGACCTTGCAAGGTATGCACATACCAAATATAATTATCCTATTACTTATAATAAGAGAGAATTTAACATTACAAAAAATCTTAACTTTTTTTTCAAGTAGTCACTGAACCATGAAAATGAGGTCAAGGACATTGGACATGTGACTGACGGAAACTTCGTAACATGAGGCATCCATATACAAAGTATGAAGCATCCAGGTCTTCCATCTTCTAAAATATAAAGCTTTTAAGAAGTTAGCTAACGCCGCCGCCGCCGCCGTAGCCGCCGCCGCCGCCGGATCGCTATCCCTATGTCGAGCTTTCTGCGACAAAAGTCGCAGGCTCGACAAAAATCTTAATTTTTTTTCAAGTAGTCACTGAACCATGAAAATGAGGTCAAGGACATTGGACATGTGACTGACGGAAACTTCGTAACATGAGGCATCCATATACAAAGTATGAAGCATCCAGATCTTCCACCTTCTAAAATATAAAGCTTTTAAGAAGTTAGCTAACGCCGCCACCACCGGATCACTATCCCTATGTCGAGCTTTCTGCGACAAAAGTTGCAGGCTCGACAAAAAAATAGAAAAACCTTTGCAGACACTTATATTAAAAGTCCACTGCAGTGTAGAGGGAGATACTGATGTATATGCACTGACTTAAAAAAACATTACAATATCAAAATTTATAATTGCTACAATTAAATTTGAAGCGTAATAATACTATAAGGAATCAACTTACCCGATTACCATTCTTAAGTTTTGGTGGAGGCATATCTCTAATTCTACGCATAGCTTGAAGTGGTGGCTCGTTAAAAAACGGTGGTTCACCATCTATCATTTCTATAACCATTATACCTAATGACCAGATGTCCACCTGTAACAAAAGATAAAATATAAAATAAGTTTTGACTTTTATTCAATTTTTATTTCATAAATGATGTTATTCGTTTTCTTTATTAGACTAAGAGTTCCAAGTGGTGAAGTTGAAATCATCCCTTCATAATTTTTACAGACGCTATCGTGAGTTGGTTGACCGTTATGAAATATCCGTTTCACAGATGATAGCGAATATGTTCCTTATGTCGTAACTACAATCCTGTCCCCTTTCCTTGAATGTGACCTACCGAATTAGACTTATTACCGGGTTTGTACTAGCATGAGCAACACGACGGATGCCACATGTGGAGCAGAATCTGCTTACCTTTACAGAGCACCTGAGATCACCCCAAGCTTTTGGTGGGTTTCGTGTTGCTCAGTCTTTAGTTTTCTATGTTGTCTTTTACTATTGTTTGTCTGTTTGTCTGTTGGTCTTTTTCTTTTTTAGCCATGGCGTTGTCAGTTTGTTTTTGACTTGTGAGTTTGAATGTCCCTCGGGTATCTTTCGCCTCTCTTAAGCAAAGGTCTCACAATATGAAAGCATGACTTCTGGTTGTAGTTACAGTGTTCTCCCTAGAAATTGTTTAAGGCGCAAAATTTCAAGGGCGCGTAACTCTATTTTAGAGTGAACTATTGTGAACTGAAGCAATCGGTCATAAATCATTACATGCAATAATGCACAGTATTAATAAACATGATATTAAAGAATAAGAATATATATATGAAATAAATTCATTTTAAACACAAAAAGCATTTATATCACAGTCAATTAAATAAGTTAAAATGTATATATAGTTCAAGAAATATCCTCATGTTCTTCTGGGCCTTCCAATGCTGAACAGCTTCAGAAATATTTATTTCTTTACTCTCTGTTCCTTCTAGAGATATAGTAACAAGACAGTTTGTAATTTTGTTGGACAGCCTGTTCCTCAGTCTTTATCCTCTTTAGGGTTCAAAACATCATCTGCCTTTCGCTTAACCCATTTTTTCTTTGCAAAGAACATGTTGATTCAGCATTAAAATTGATTGTTTAAGATGTTTGATATACAACTTTTTAAAACAAAAAAATTGTAATGAACCAGATGACCAGTGTCCGTAGTTTGACATTACGCTTCCGTGTGTATAATTGTCAAAACGTTTCTTTGGCAGGTAGATATAAACGAAACTTGACAAATTCGTCAAAGTTAAAACCAGTGAAATTCTTTAGTGACATTATACAAATGCTGCAGCAATTCTGTACATATATTTCTCAATGGACGAATTAACGATCGATGTTAAGAATTATTTTTTATCTAAAGCGTGACAGTTGACAGACGAACTTTACTTGCAAGCAACAATTTTTCACTTTCTAATAAAATAAATTACTCCTCGTTATTTTTAATAAAAGTTTATTTTACTTTTTTGACGTACAAATACTCTCATTCATAATTATCGTAAATTTCTTTAGTAATGTGCAATCAAATTTATCACGTGTATTCATCATGTTCATTGGTCGAGTTTAAATAGATTCTTCTTCTCGACCAATGAAAAAATTTGTTACTTAAATGGCAAAGTATCGCACATAGACGATGCGTAAATACAATATGTATTTGCGATCTATTTCTTCAATTTTTGCACTGAAGTTTTTAAAAACTTTTATTTTCTACTAGAAATATCTATCTTCTTGATGATCATTTACGCTATAACATGATTACATGGTATGATGAGGCTGGAACAGGTAAATCAGAGACTTTTTCTAGTTATCAGTTATTGCGCAACATTGACCAACCTCTCAGCGGTAATCAGCAACTTGACAATTTTAACCAAAATTTATAATTAAAATGTGAAAATTAACACGCTGCGGGATCAAGTATTAAGGGACAGCGGCCAATTAAGGCGCTGTGGGATCAACGAAAATATTTTGAAGGCGCTGTGGGACCGCAGCATCATATCGGCCTGGGGAGAACACTGAGTTATGCCTTTTACCAGAATGAGTTGCCTTTTATGATGCACAAAATGAAGCCAGCATAACAAAAATTTGCTGTGACAAATGTATATAGATTTAATTACCTCTGGGCCATATGGTAACCTTGAAATGACCTCTGGAGCCATCCAATACGGTGTTCCTACCAATGACTTTCTTTGGCGTAGTTCTGGTGTGACTTGTGCACAAAAACCAAAATCAGATAATTTAACCTGAAAATTAAAAATTATATATATCAAGATTAAAATGATTTCCAACATTCATTCAGAAGCCAATCAGAATTTATTGCAGAGGATTTACTGTAAAAGTGTTGGAAAAGATTAAACCTTATCCTTATTTATCTGCCATTTCAGTACATCACATATTTTCCCGTAAATTTTGATGTAAAAAGAGAAAATGTCCGGTGAATTGATGCAAATGTGATTGTGGTGTGATTAGTTTGTTTGAAATCAATAGTTAATGGTCTCGGAATCACAAATAGCAATAAGGTTTATGTTCCTTGGCATTCAAGTTTTTGAGTCTGAGCACTGATGAAGGCAATTCCAGAAAAATCTTTCGAACAAACCAAATTTATATCATGGTATTTTTATTTTGGAGCGTTTCTCTTATAACTTTATGTTCCTTTGAAGTATAATGTTAAAAGACAACATTTATGGATGCATTGTAACATTCTTAAGAAATTGGACAGAGTAGTAAAACATATCAAACACTCTTACAACTTTTTGTGTATATCAAACACTCTTACAACTTTTTGTGTATATTAAACACCCTTACAACTTTTTGTGTATATCAAACACACTCTTTTGTCATTTCACTCACATATCTTTCAGCATACTAATATTACCTTGCCATCTCTAGCACATTCTAAACGAGAAGTTAGCTATTTGCATAGGAAAGTGTACTTCTAAGGAGTATGATGAGAAATGTAAAAATATTCTGTATACATTGTTTACACTTTTTTAAATGATAAATTACATGTTCAAGTATTACATATATTTACCCTTCCATCATGAGCCAGTAATATTGAATCAGATTTAATATCTCTATGTATAACACCATTTCTATGTAGAAAATCCAAGGCTTTCAGACAGGCTTTACATACAGTGGCTATCTGGTGTTCATCCATCCTGAAAAAATATAAGGTATTCAAACTGTTACAAGGTCAAAAACTTCATTTGGAAAATATTTTAAAAAGTTCACATCATAATGTACATGTGTATTAATTTTTTATGGCCTTGGTGGCCTTAGTAGTCAAACTACTGTATCACTAGCCTGTCAACTTCGAGGTTGTGAGTTCGAATCCTACAATGCCCTTGACTCCAATCTCCATTGACTAGGATTGTGAGTTTTCCTACCGAAGTTCAGTGGTTCTCTCCAGGCACTATGCCTTTCTCCACCAATAAAACTGACTGCCACAAAATAGCACCATAGTGCTGACAGTGGTGTTAAACACCAATCAATCAATCAATGTAATAATTTTCAAGATGTTGACCACAACTTTGTGGTGAACAAGGAGAAGTAGGTCTCAACCCCTGGTTTGAGATGCAATTTTAAAGTCTATAATGAGCAGGTGTTTAAGGTTTCAAGTGATATGACCAAAACTTAGTGTTAAACTACCTAATACAAAAACTTTAAACCAGATCAGTGAACCGTGAAATCTGGGCCTAAAATATTTGGCATATACTTTAAAAAAATTACATCATAATAAGCATGTGTATTAAGATTCAAATTGATGTGACCACAACTTCATTAAAACAGCCTTAAACCACAGATTTAACCTTATGACCAAAGGACACACAGATCAGGAAACATAATGCCACCAATTATCGTAAGTGGAGCACAAATTATTTTTTTTTAATTATACAGAAATTAATATGCAAGTTTGGGCTCAGGAATCAAGAATTCAATTTTTTGTTTGTCCTAATCTCACTTATTTGGACTTCTAGTAATCTTTAAAATAATCGACCTTGATATTTCCTTTTTGAATATTTTTCAAAATAGCAGTTTATTCTATGACTTTCTGATATAGTCCCTTTGATCTTTATGCCATAAAAGTTTATATGTGTATCTACCTGTTTTGTGTGACTACAATATCAGTCAGAGCACCACCTTCAAGGAACTCCATTACTACCCATAATTCATCACCAACAAGGAAACTATCATACATATCTACAATATTGGGATGGTGATAATCCCTCATAATAACAACCTGAAAAAGAACAGAAATGAGGGGTTAGATTATTTATGTAAATATCTCCTCTTAGTGTAATGGATTCAATGATTATATTTTAAGCTCATAACTAGTCGTGCATTATGAATATTAAAATCTGATCACACACTCATCGCAGCATTCTTTAACAAGGGTGAAAATAATTTGAAAATCATCACGCCTGAATATTTCAACTTTTCACATTTACTTTTCAGTTGATTTCAAAGCAATTTATTTTTCTTGATTTTCTAACTTCATTCATGTATTTTATTCATATAGGAGACGATTCGAGTTTGATATATTCATGCTTATTCATAGTCACACTATTTTTCTACTCACGATAGTCATAAAATAATCACTAAGTTTGTTTACAATATTTTCATGACAACTATAAATAAATCAGATTAAAACCATCCCACATTTAATTAAGTTTCCTTTTTCTTGGGAAAATGATTGATACATGTTGCCAGGGCTTTCAGAAGAAAGTGACCAGTAGTTGGCATTTTTGTAACCAGTTATTTCTACTCCAAAAGCTGCCTATCGTAAATATTTCTTATCTGTAATTTACTTTTGATAGCTTGAAACTGAGTCTCAAAAGTGTTTGAAAGCCCTATTTAGCATAGTTTAAACTCATGTAGAAAAGTTTCACTTCTACAGATCACCCAACTACAATATGTTTCTTCCTAAGAATACCCTGTGCATAATAATAAACTGTATTTCAGGCAATTTTGAGAAAAATATGCAAGCAGTTTTCTCTTAAATTTCTTTTATATATCATTTGGCAAATTTTTCCTTTAAAAGTTTTATTAAATAAAATAAGAAGACGTGGCATGATTGCCAAAGAGACAACTCTCCATCAGAGACTAAATGATGTATAGGCCACTGACCGGCCTTCAACAATGAGCAAAACCCATACTGCATAGTGAGCTTACCTCATTGAATAACAACTCTCTCCTCTGTTGTTTCCGCAGATCCATCTTTTTCACTGCCACATTTTGACCCGTTGTTTTTGATGTACATATACACACAATGCCTGTAGATCCCTCTCCTATTTTTATGAAGTTTTCCAAATTATCTCTAGGATCGCCTGGACTTACGACCATTTGTAATGCTGCTCGGAACTACAATATCAAAAGGCTTATGTTACAGAAAATGGGACCTACAACATATTAATCTTAAATCTTTTTGGAACAAAAATAAAAAAAATCAAACTAAATCTTTTCAAATAATGATTTCACCAACAAAAGCTTAACAAATTAATTTAATAAACTGATACTATGCAATATCATTCTGAAATAGATGTGCACTTGAATAGAGTGAGATTTATGTGCACTCAGTGCTTCAGCAATGAGGTAGTTATTTCTGGTAGGAAGCATGTAGTTGAACGATAGTTTCCTGTCTAAAAATTTACAAAACAAAACAACTTCTAAGGTTTCCAATAGATGCATGACTAATATTAACTACCATGTAATGCAGAGCAAAAAATATAAAAAGGATGAAACTATTGTGGCTGTGATTGTCTCAGTTCTATAGTTTTGAAATGAGACAATAGAACAACTATGAGTCTGTTTTGTGTTGCTAATATATTTTTTTAATTATCTGATGTACAGTTTAAGATCAATTCAAAGTAATTGACAGTGGTAATTAATTGTTTATTTTACCTCTGACATGTCAAAATGTTTATAAAGCTTTGAGGATTTAGTGAGAAAAAAGGATGGGGGAGCTTTGCATAGAAAGGGCTTACAGTGCTGTTAAAGGAATTTTAACACTAACACAAATATTTATTTTCATTCTGAATGAACAATTATATTTACAAACTACATGTACAATACATTTCTATTTAAGCAAATCATACAAGAAAAATGGCTGACTAAACACATTCATAAAACTAATGCTAACTTGCAGTTTGACTTTGTATTTATCATGCAGTAGTCTAAAGAATTATGCATCCCATTATTTAATAATATAGAAAGAAATTGTACAAAATGTATCTGTAAAATAAGACAATCACACTTTCCATAAAATGAAATTTGAAAAAGTGTGTAGCACAGCATTTTTTCAAAGTTTCTAATGACCTGCACTACAAACTCTATATATTACACGAGTTCAAATTATCAAAGTGCCCTAAAATATAGCCAAAATTAAAATAAATAATGCTTGCCATAGTCTCTTGGAACCAAAAAGTTCCTGCCATGTATTAAAATTTCTTTCTTTACATATTTCCCACCACTTTTTGCAAATATTATACAGAAAAGAAACAAACCAACAACTCTATAACTCAAAGAGATGAATGGACTATGGCAAACATTGATATTTTTAAGTCTGGCCTAAATGAAGATGATAGTGATACCTGCTCGTGTGAAAGTCTCTGCTGCTCCTGTATGGACCCAGGCGGCGGTGCAGTATTGTTGGGGGATTTCGGTGGTGGCTGCATTTTTGGTGTCGGAGAATAATTATTCTGTGAAACTTGCAAGTTGGAAGGTTTGGCTCCACCCTGACACACAACAAACAATAAGCATGATATATATATTTGGCAGAGTAAGTCATAACTTAGGGCTATTCCATTATAATAAATTTGGGAGGGAAAAAAGTAAATTCCAAAAATCCCCCCACAACCAAGATAATTTTGCATACTGTAAATTCAGAAATTATTGCTTGCATTTATTACTGCTATTTTTGAAGAATGGACAGAAATGCGAGATTAATTATTGCGATTTTAGGAAAATCTGCAGACAGATATCCGTATCAGATATTGGAATGTGAGTTCTTATTATTGCGATAATCACCAAGTCGCATTATTTACATTAAAAAAACCTCGCAATAATTTTTGAATTTACAGCACATCAAATGGATATACATGTAAAACACTGAATCACCTACAACCCATATCTAACTTGAGTTTTCCTTTCCTACCCTCCAACATTCATTTTAATGGAATATCCCTTAAATACATGCATACAATTCAAATGCAAAAGTTTTTATTGTTATAATAACCACAGGATCAGGATCCAAATTCAAAGGAGCAATTAATGAAAAGTTTGTAACGGTAGGTAAGTAAAATCTGGTTCCAATTCCAATGGAGCAAAATTCTTCTGTGGGATCCGATCCAAAGTTTACTAATTTTTCCTTAATTGCTCATCAGGATTCTGATCCCTCCGCTATTTCAGATAGGAATACCCAGTGTGATAACAGTTCTGACATCATTTCACCTTAATGAACTTTGGCTATGAGCTTGTTGTCAAATTGTTTGCAAGATTATGAATATCAATATCAATCTACAATATCTGACATTTGGCACATGGAGAAAATTGTTAAGGAAAAGCATTTGTCAAAAGACATCAAAAGTTTAAGCATATAGGGTATAGGTCATATTTTCCGTTGATAAATTTAGAAATTTCGAAGTTACTTAAAAGTAAGAAACTAAGGTTCACAACGCCATCTAGCAAAGTTGACCATAGATAGTTTTGGCTATTCTTTTTAGGCCCCTTTTTTGGTCATATAGCTCGTCAAGTACTAATACATGATCGTCTTTCAAGTTTTTGGTTTTAAAATTTCCAGAAAAAAAGGTAAATCCAGAAAGATTATTATGTCGGCCCAAATATATAAAATATTATATTGATTCCACGGAAATTAAGTCAATTATTTATGAATTATTCAATTTTGACATCCATCACATTGTGCAATGACCATGATGATGTTATATACTTTAATGCAAATGAATGACTATATATATTGTCCACAACAGGACTTCTTTGAAAATTACTCCTGCTGGTGGTCAGGTGAGTAAATGTACTACAGTAAAACAGGGTGATTGCTGGTGTTCATTTTACTTTGATTTATGACCTTGTCATATAAAACCTATGGAAATATTCATAGAAATGAGGGTGTATTTACCTTCAATGTCAAGTGGCAAATATTACATACATATCAGGATGAGAAAATTTAAATTTGATATAAATATGAACACTGCCTTGTACTAGACCAACACTGAGCCTGATTTTTAACATGCTAGTTCAAAAAGTAACAGTCAGAAGGGATTTTGAAAACATGTCACCCTGCCCAGACGAATATTATACAGAGTCTTTGTTCTAACAAAATGATTTGTTATTAGCTGATCATGAGAAGCCTGCAAATGCCAATTTTCTAGTTTTTTTGTTTGCTCTGGCTGGGGATGAACTCAGGATCTCCCACAATCAAGGTAAGCCTGTTACACAAGATAAGATGGTGCTACCTGTACATGTATATGTAACCTCATAATATACATGTAACAAAGTTTCATAGTTAATCACTCACAACCACCAGGTTCACAATCAAGAGTGATTTTCAATTGAAACATCCTCATCAGTGTTTACTGTCCATTTAATTTCTATTATATAATACAATTTCATATATTTAAGTAGACCCAATCCTTTTTAATTTTTAATGGCCTAATGACTGAGCACATAAAGCAATGGATGATTAACCAATTACCATATGACATGCTGAATACGTTATTATAAGTCGGCTTTAATTTAACTTTTTCATAAGATTTTAAATTTTAATACATATTTTATTAGAAAATTTCAATTTTCTCACTTACAAAATATAAAATGAAATCATAGTATCCAATAAACTGATTTTAAATGAATATAGTCTATATATTTACATGAAGAATATAACATATCTGTTTTATCTAAAGGTGGCAAAGTTATGTTAATTCAAAATGACACATTATGCAATAATGAGGTGAGCATGTGAATATATTGTATTTGAAGCAGTCTTCGAGTGCGACCATTTGAGTTTTTCAAACAGTTGTCTCCCCTTTTCTTTATTTTTTTTTTCCTTTCAATTTGAAACCTCATTTGTCTAAAACCACCAAAACCAATAGAGTCAGTAAATCAAAACATCACATAAGTATAATGTGATGTCATAATCATTATTTCTTTTTTTTTCATTCCACTATGCTTATCAAAAACAGATTTCTCTTTTAAATTCCTAAACACTGGACTTTAAGCAACCAACAATCAATCAATCAACAAATCATAAATTCTAAAATATGGTATTGGTAAGCAAGCTTTGTAAAGGTTTTTGGAATAGGTTTATAAGCACATTCTCATTCATTCAAACATCATGCAAACTACACATACATGTAGATGTAAATATACACACTTGCTCTAAACAAATCATTCTTATAATTCAAATAAATACAAATCTACAATAATATTTAACATATATGAAATTTCACGTCCTGTATCTTGCATATTCCAAGCACTTTTACAAAAATGTATTTAACGTTTTCTTCTACATGTAGTATACTAATGACATTCTTGTTTTTCTTACATTTTCAATAAAACCTAAAGTAAATAATGTCAACTTTAAAACATTTTCAACAGTCTTTAATTATGGTAATATGCTATTATACTGAAAATATTTTAGGTGTTTTTAATTCTAGATCATTAAAAATCATTATTGATAAAAAATACTCTCATCAACCCTTGCCATACTTGATAGATTTCCAGATGACAACATTAATTCGGCAAATTCTTAAACTTCTGCTGTGATAGCAACTTACCCGATCATACTGTAAGCCTGCTCCATTTTTAGGAGGTCCATGTGGCGGTGAATCTGGTCCTCCGTGATGACGAGGCAATCTTTCCGGAGGATGCATTGAATTGCCATTCATAGGCATCTGATTGTGTTGTTTATAATCGTCATACGGAAACTGTGGACCTCGTCCATCAAAATGAGGTTGATTGTGTTTTGGATGGTACATGTCTCTATTATCAAATGAACTATTATGACTCCTGTTATGGTCCTCAGATCTTCGGTCCAATGTCCCATCACGGAAAGGAGGTCCATCTCTTTGATCGGGAGGATACTCCCTATAATCACGAGGGTCTCTGTGGTCTCTATGATCCCTTGGATCTCTGTGAATGTCCCTTGGATCCTGTCTATCACGAGGATCTCTCATTTCCCGTCGAGGATCGTTAGTGGGATAGCGGTTATAATCTCTAGGTTCTTGTCTTGGATCTCCCCTAGATCGCTCTTGGTCTCTGTCATACTGAGGGGGACCACCTCGACTTTGATATGACCTATCATGAGGAGGAGGTTCATCCTCTTGAAGAGGAGGATATTCTTGAACATAACGTCTTTGTTGTGGAGGACTTGCTCTGCGTAATGAGTTTGAACGTGCAACAGTTATTGACCTTACATCAGGATTATATCCATTCATATGTCTTGGTTCACCAATGATTGTCTAAAACAGAAATATATATGATTTGAAATATCATAAAACTCGAAATTGAAAAATACCAGAGTTTCAATTTGACATTTTATTGAACAAATCACAATTTATTTTCATGCATTTCATTTGATGTTTCAGTTTCTATTTGAATCCATGTTATTGTTTTGCATTTTTCAATATTATATATAAACAAATAATTCTGGTAAGATCAAATCAATTGTGTAATTTTCATGGTTTTGGGGCTAGGTAAATAGGACTTGAAAAGGAGACAAGAACTTATGAATTTAATATTTTTATCTTGAATATGTCTAGGATTACTTATAATAACAATTTCAAAGTAAACTTTTCCCACAGAAACAAAACATTTTTATGTCATAGTCTATGACATAAAATTGTTTTGTTTTGATGCAAAGCCTACTTGAAAAGGTTATTGTTTTGATCCAAAGTTTACTTGAAAACGTCATTAAATGTAATTTAAGACAAAATTACATAATTCAAAGGCGAAATGTGTGATTTGGGGGCTGTTTTCCCAATATAATTTTGTCATGCAGCACAAAAAGTCACAGTGTGGGTCCCTTGATGTCAAATTATTTGTGTAATCAATAAAATAAGCAATGTATGCACAAATTCAAACCTATATAACTGAAATGGTGTAATTGGACAGGAAATCATTTAGTCTTAAAATGCCAAAAAAAGTTATCAGAAATTATTACATGTAATGTACGTCATGTACATGTATACACCAATGTTGATGGGTTTCTGCAACACTAGTATATACTCCCCACCACACACACCTCCTTTAATTCAACTTAGTTTTGATTAAATGACAATACGAAGAATAATTGAACAGACAATGGAAATTGTGAGCAACAATATTCCTTCAGTGATCTTTTGTCTTTTTTTTGCATTAGAGATATATTTTTAAGTACATGTGTAAAATCATTTCAATGAAAAGGACATCTCTATAATAATATTTCATTAAAACTATCGATTTGTATCAAAGACAAATGGAATATCTTTTAAAGATTAAAAACAAAGTATTATATATAATATTTCAAACTTCTGACTTATAAATAATCTGGAAAAAGTTTCATTAGCCTAAGAATCATTAAAGAATTTTAACGATATGATAATGATGTAATTCTTGTGGTTTGAAGAGGACTTGGTGCATGCTGCCTCATCTTTCCTCCAGTTTGACAGACAATATAACAGCCCTCGCCAGATGTTTTTACCATTATTTCTTCAAGATGTTTTGAATTAACTTTCTCTTATCTTCAAGAGCCATTTTAAAACCTTTAATTCCATTTCATAAACTTATAATACTGATTATACTAATGATAAAAGTACATTCCAGAAGAATAAAATTTCTCTTACTGGTATTTAACACATGAAATGCATTGTCAATAGATCAACTGAGAAAAAAAAAGACTCAAGATAATCAAGATAATAAGATTTAATTGCCTCAATTCATTTTCATATATTCTCTATACATGTATACTTGTCATTAGAATAAAATAACAATAATAAATTTTAGCATGAACTGTTCCAATAAAATTTTGTACAATGGCATTTTCTCTCAGAATAAAAATCTAACTTAATAATTTAAATATCCATATCAAATTAGTGTTCTGATAATTAAAAAAATGATGTTAATTACCAGATTAATTGGTGATTAATTTAGATATCAATATCAAAAACAAAATCATAATCACGTAAGTATCATAATTACCTTTAAGGGCTGAATTTCAGTATGTGTGATCCTAGAGGCATCAACGATTGGTTTCCTCCGATCGTTCTCCTCCGGGATAATAATCCCTGTCCATTGTGGAGGCAGTCCAACATACTTCCCCTGGTCCCTATCAAATCCAGTATGGACACGATGTTCAAAGTTACTTGGCTTAGATATTTCTGGTCTCCTTTTTCCTTTCTTAAACATGATTCCCTATCTCCGTGTTGCCAAAATAATCATCAGAAGAAGACACCTACAAGTAGAGACAGGAAGTTTTCACTTCAAAAATATTTTTATTATCTAATTCATTTTAACATACTCAATTAGGCCAAAGGGGAGTTGATTTTGAGTTTATCCTAAAATCTCTGTGTATTGTTTTGATTCATGTGTTGAATGTTAGCTGTAACTCATGTACTGTTTGCATTTAAATTAACCTGTTAGGGTTTTTTTTTCTTTTTGACAAAAAGTTAATAAATTAATTCATAATTCTTTTTGCTCAATTTTCCTTGAACTACATGTAATTCTACACAGAAATTTAAAACTTCATACATTCATTCAGTAAGTCAATTATTCACTTTTAATAGATATAGAATAATGGTTTAAATGTTTAGAAAGTGAAGACAAAAATTATTAAAAGTTTTACTGCCAATCCTACCAGACATTTAAACTGCCATTATTCTGTTTTTATTACCAACATCATAATCAATATGACACTGTGTCTATGATGTATTATATTTTCATGTATTACAGAATTATGATAATATTAAAATAGAATATGAATTTGACTATTAGCAAGATTTAAAGTCAAAATTTTCAAGGAACAAATTGATGTGTACATGTACACATGTATTTATCTACACATTCAATTTGTAGTGATAAATTATACATACATTGTAATACATGTAAATAAAAATGAAAGAGTACTAACTTCTATATATACCATTCAAGTCTAGAGCATTTTATAAAAATGCTGCACCAATCCTGAATTTCATCCCTTAAGTACAATGTATCTTCTGTACTGTGTCAAGACTAAATCATGTAAATAGTGCCACTGATTTACATCATTAAGACAGTGATCAATATCATCACAATATAATTGTTTGGGCATGGCTTCAACAATGCAACAGCTTTTATGAACTGTAGTTAAGGCAGTGACACTTTAAGAATATCATGTCTGTTCAAGGCCTAAATGCTGCAAATGATATTATAATGTTAGAGGGCATGATATATTAATATGCATGGCCTCACTTAAGTGCACCCGATTTCATATTCTATTACGACAACAGAAAAATTTTATCATTTTGCTTAGCCTGATTACTGCATCAGATTTTATCATACACAACAATATTATGATTTTGCTTGGCCTAAATGCTGCAACCTGAGTTATCACAGAGTCTGGAATATTATACATGAGGTCGTGACCATACATTGTTATATCTGATAGGACATAATAACATGTTGGTTAAAAAATACAATGCATAGGAAACAGAATATTATAAGTCAAAATATCAGTTATATTGATGAACACATTTTTCATCTTATAAATGATCTTAAATGGTATGATGGAATGTTAATGATGTTACCAATTGTTAAATTATTCCGTTATACTAAATTGAGTGTTCTCTTTATAGGATCACTTGAAACTAGGAAAAAATTTATGTTCTTTGAATTAAATTTACTGGCAAAATTCATTTCTTTTATAATAACTCCAATTAACACTGTTCTTGCAATCCATTTAAGTCTTGCAAATTTAATCAAAACCTTATGAACATTCCTGTTAAAAAAATAGTTATTAAAAATACTGTTTCATTACAAATTTATTAAACAAGGGTTTAAAATTATTTGTTTTCCTTCCCACAACTTAACAGATCCTCTCTAATATCAACAGCACAAACAGAGTTTTTAGTTACAAATCAGAAAATGAATACAAATGAAGATCCACTCTTATGATGTCACATTTTTAGTTTGAACTGTATATGTAGCTTTAATTCAGTGTAAATATAAAATGTGTATAAAACTTCCGATCATCTGAGACATTCAAGGATAAATCTTCACATACTTTACCCTCACATTCTTGAACAGCTATGGGAGGTCAGCAGAAGTCTTTTTTGTATCATTGGCCATGGGTTGACCTTGAAAATCTGAATACCATTACTGATAAAACTGATCCTTGGAAAGTTTTGAAAAAGATCTTAAGTCTATGATGGGGGTATTTATCAGATAGAAGAGTTTGATGATAAGATATCAAAATATTTGTATGTGCAGTTTTTTTATTATATTTAATAAGTACATGTACACACCTTACATCTAGTGGATTAAGAATTTGCCATTATACACATATGGTGGTAGCAGCAAAAAATCTATCACACCTAATCATGGTGTTTTATACATGTTATAGTGGCTATATATATATATATATGTCACCAACACCAGCTGACCAACACCTACCACTACATGTATATACTGGTAATGTACAATTATCAAGGCATTTAACATTGTTTGTATTGAAACATATTCAAGAGTTTTCTCCAGAGTGCTTTTCTTGCACTTTTGATGCACAAAAATTGCACTTAAGCAACACAAAATTCTCTGTTGCATTCAGTGATGATGCACCTAAAAAAGCCAGATTAGTTTTAGCACTTAAGTTTGTATGAAATTATGTCTGATCTACACTTTAAACAAAAATGTAAATTGTAAATAGATATTCCGTACAAACTGATATTTAAAATTAAATTTTCTTTCTATTGAACAGAAACTTGTACCAGATATGACAAGAACAAAATTAGAACTCTCTTTCAGTCATTTCCTTAAATAATCATAGTTGCAGAACATTATGGTTTTACCAGATACATGTACATGTTAATGTAACTGAACCATCATACATGTGTATTTATATTTCTTTATTGAATAAAAAGACATCAATGCCTCAAAATCAGTGCCAATTGACAGCCCTTTTCACGTCATCAAAGAACAATTCATTCAGCATCTACTTGATATTGAGTATGCAGTTGGTGACAAAACAGTCAGAACATTGCAAAATTAGGACTTAACAGGTAATTGTCATATTAAAAGAACTATTTTTATTGAGCCTTCCTTTAAAAGTGTTGACATTTACACCCCATGTAGGCCAAAAATTGAGATTTTGGTGAATGTTAACAAAGAATTTCAACAACATTTAGGCCTAGGAAACATAGAACACAGGGCTCATCAAAACAGATATACATGTATGTATTTATTAGTTATAACAAACATAATATCAAAAGATATTTTTTGTGTCAATGAACATCACTACATTTTGTACATGTGTGAGCTGTGTGTTTCCCATCCTTTTAAACCAATGGAAAGTGTGCCGTTTAATTGGATGAAAATCAAAATTTGTGCTGCATTTATTAGTAACGTCACAAAAAGATTTCTGATTCATAAATTTTTAACAATGAGACCTACATGTATTTCCAATCTAGTCATTGTTTTAGCTGCATGTGTAACAGGCCATATCAAACCCTCCGAAATTGTTAAAATTCTCACCATACATTTCTTATCAATTTTCCAAAATTCAAAACTATTCCAGATTCAAATAATTCCTTGTTTACAGGCCATATCAAACCTGTTTTTCTTTTTATAATATGGATACATGTACACTCTTGCAATGGAGTTATTATAAAAGAAATAAGAACAAATTTTTCGTCCCTGCAGTGTAAATCCTATATCGTATATACAGCAAAACTCACAATAAGCAGAGCATTGATAATCACTTGGGTTTCTCAAACACAGTTCTGATGTATAATGTGACTTAAATTATTTAAAACAAACAAACAGAGAAAGGAAAATGTTTCCTTCAAGGTAATTAGAAGGGAAAACATAACAAAGTTCATGTCAAATGTTTCAACACTCCAAATATTGCTTCCTTTTAATGAGCCTAATCAGAACAAATTGAAAAAAAAAGATTAGGGATGTTTTTATTGTTGCCAAAATTGCAATGGGTATAGAAATAGGTGTTGTAAAAGTAAAAACTTATATTTCAAATTTTGATAGCATTATTTTTCTGCAACATTTCCCGATTTTTCGTAATAATAAATCAAGTTTTGTCTATGTTTCAACAGTCCCAATAAGGCCAAAAAAAATATACATGTGTTTCCGCTAACCCTACCTACCCTAATTTTTAGTACCTACTCTAACACTTTTTATGCCATTTTTGAACAAGCACTGTTAAAGTCAGAATGATTCCCTAATAGAAACCAGCTAAAATATGATTGTAAAATAAAATGATATTGCCTACCTACCTACCCAAATTGTTTCAGCACGTAAGGGGAAACACATGTATTATTTTTTTTGGCCTAATAAATGTACAATTAAAAAAAAAATGTATTCATTGACAGTATTTGATTTGTTCAAAGAAGTAATAAATGTACTAGCCAAGACTCGTAACCATGGCATATTCTAATATGTCTAAGAACACAAGACAAAGAAACAGAATTATTTACTAGACATAAATTTCTATCAATGGCTTTTGGATAGACAAAAAAAGATTCACACCTGCAATGCAAAGTGCTTTTAGCTTTAATTATACATTATTTCTTTAGTTTATACAACCAAGCCTTATCATAATAAAAAATACTCTGCACTGTAAATACTAATGGCAATTTATCAAAACAGAGGAAGACATGTTGTAATAATTACAGAAAGTGTTAGTAAATGCAAAATCTTTGGAACTGAAACAATTATTCATTATAAATGTCTATGAATACTTTTTTCATTAGCATGTTCAAACTTAGAAGATTGAAGAAAAGTATTATTAAACGAATTTGACCGGTCTTACACAGTTCGACAAAAGAGCTGTTTTCTAATACAGTGTTCTAGGTAGCCCTAAAATAATTGGCAACTATTAAAATCTAACAGATACTTTTTGTCTACAGCAGGCATTTACCTACATTGTACAGGTACGTTTGTACCTACAATTATGTTCATATTTCTTTTACCTATGGTTCTGATATAAAATGCTCATTCTAATGGGGTCACTATCAGATGTGGAATTGTTTGTCAATCAAATACAAATCAATCCTGACCATGAGATTTATGTATACAAGTGTACTTCACAGTACAATATAAGTCCTTTTTATTCTTCCGGCAAGTTTTGATTATCATGATTATACTATAGCTTTATACATAATATATAATAAAAGGTGTTCTTACCCACTAACTTGTATAGGAGTAAAGCACTTAAACAAACTTTCAATTGAACTTTTACTTCCAAGATATAAAATTGCATGCATGTGTAATATGATGTAAAGTGTGGGGCAACTTCGGGATTTTGTGTGTTAATATGTAATAATCATGATAATGAAAACTGAGTTTTTGGTAAGGGGTAGATTCTTTTACTTTGCTGTATATGTAAACAATATATGTTAATTTGTAAATGTATATTTGTATCATAATAAATCAGAAACAATATTATGAAGTAGGTCACCTTTCAAATAACTATGCTAAGACTTCCGGTATCACATTTTTCATCAGATTACCTGTATTTTTCTGCACGTTTCCAGCTTATTCCCAACGAAATCTGTCTGTCCAGTGCACGAATTTATGAGGAATTGTAAGTGACTAACAATTTGACAATATTTTATGAATACAGAGGAACTATGTGGGCAGGATAGTCAACTGTCACCGATTTACACACCCTGATTATTGTTTACCTGTAATCTCCACAGGTATGAACTTATTTCCAAGTGTTATGCACCGTTAAAACACTTTCATAACAAATTAAAGTTGATTTTTATAGCTTTAAAAGTTCACTAGTTTTCTCTAAATTGTTTCCAGTGTCGGTTAAAGGTAAAAGTTTGGACAAAAATAATACGCTTCCCTTGACGCCATTATTGTCAACCTGAACATCCGGGAACTTGAATCGAAAAATATCCAACAGATGGCGTGCTGGACACCAAAATAAGCAAAGCACATGTATGTAAGATATATATATGTGTAACGAAGTAAACAGTCATATACAAGCATTATTTCTAGTTATTTATAGTCACCAAGGATTTGAATGAGCATAAACAAGTCTAATGTCAGTAATGATAATCAAGAGTGTAAAAGACACATTTTCATTTTATAGTTTGACAAAAAAAGGGGGGAGTTACAGTCATGTAATAATACAAGCTTTACAGCATAAACATAATATTACAGGTTATAATACGCCCAAGGTTACAAAATTTGATAAAGTTGAGAGCATATGCCCTAGTTGAATATAAAACACATTTCAGATACAGATCCAAGCAAGGTCTAATACCATGAATATAGTCATTATACTTGATCCAAGGAAATCTATTTGTAAAAACTATGGTCAGATCATGTTTTCATACCTCATGAATTTGTACTATGCACGCTTTTTCAATAGAAATTGTGACGTCACAATGCTTTCTTTAATAGCACAAAAACCAATCAGACGAGGATACACGTATTTCTGAATCTGCATTTATAACAACTATAAATGTTATACAACAATCACTACTACATTTCTGTGTCAGATTTTTTTTTTACGATGTCAAAATTTACTGGAATTTATTGAAAAATAACGATAATCAGTGTATTGCTTAACAAGCACATCAGGGGTCACAGGACTTGTTTCAATGAGTGTACCCATAAAGAGATAAGAGGCTTACTCGATAATCACTTGTTTTATGAGATAACAGAACTGTGTGAATTCTTGCGGAAGTGCAGTGTTTGGTCCTACCATCCAATATCTAATTTAACTTATTATCATAATATCAAAGTCGATGATAGTGTATTAGTATATATCACCCAGTAATGCTTTGGTATTAAAAACTGTCCTTGCGGTTAGCTGGCATTCACATTTATTGGCAGTCTCCATTTTGCTATTGATCCCACTGCCTATTATTCATTTAGAGCATGGACAGGACTTGATACTCTGTCTCATAAATGTTAGGCAATGACATCGCATATCAGTGCACAGTGTAAAAGAAGAAAATTCACAAATTTGCACATACATCTTACTAAATGAACACAGCTTTTATATTCTGAAAAGTTGTTGTGAAAGCATGGAAATTCTACTAGAGTTAACTATTAGTGTGACAGTTTTATTCTTTTAAACACATATCTTTATCAAGAATGGATGTTCATTTTATTTTCCCACACTCTTTAATCATGTTAATATTTTTGTACATGGAGATTAAAACTACTCAAATTGCATTGTCTCCCTTCAATACAGGGGTTAAAAAATCCACTAGCCCGACGCCCGGGACTAGACTTTTACACTTCGGGCAATTAAAACTGGTAACCGAATATGCCCGACGGACTAGTAACAAACAATTCTTGGCATTTCCAAAATAGTAAGTGGAAAATCCCCTCATCACTATTCTATCTTAGCCAATCAGATTCAATTATGTACGTCATCCGGGATTCCAAGAATTTGAACCGATTTTGTACATGTTTTAAAAATAGAACAACTAACTCTGGGTGGACCGGTATCATGTTTTGATCGCAATTCACGTACTTTCAATATCAATTTCTCAGTACAGGGGGTATTGTACATTGCTTATGCCGAGATTTTCAATTAATGGTACTTGGGTGTATGTCATGTAATGATCGATATTGACCTGTCTTGTCGGACAGCTGTTAATTTGAGCTTGAAACCGTGCACAAATTATTTCTAAACATTTTAGTACGACCACCCATAGGAACTTTGTCAGTTTCAAAACGAAAAACGGTAGATGAAGGGGGTAATGAGGCTGAAAATTTATCCCAAAAAATGCCAAATACGAGGGGGGGCGAGAGGGGGTCTCATCCCGATTTCCCGGTTTTAATATCAGAAAATCCCGAAATCCCGGAATATTTTGTTAAAAATCCCGATCCCGATAAATTTGTTCCCCAATTTTAAAGTTTAATGTTTCAATGCTTACGATTTAAACGTCTCGGGTATGATTGGTAGTCTTTCAGCGTAACCAATCCGAATATGTATTATCAATATTACCGTAACGTCAAGCTGAATATAAGCATTTTTGTTCTCATAAATCTTATTCCAGTTCAAGTCAATACAAGAACCTATATGACAAGCACTGGAATCGTTTTGTAACGGAGAGAAATTTGAATCTATTGAGTCACCATTCGAAAAACCACTGAACCAAGGATCAACCAAGTTACAGACATAAACAGATCTATATATGTCACTTGAGAGATTTATAAAGTAGTCGAAACGCTGCTTTACATTATAAAATTTAAAAACAATACCAGATTTTAAGACACTTGTTAGGATAAATGATTATGCTTAGGGCTGTATGCAACTACACAACTGATCACCAACAAGAAGCTGATCGACTGACCTTGGGAAAATCAATAATGAAGAATAATGGGTCAATTTTCTAGTAGTGATTGACAGGTATGAATTAATGTTGAGGCTCTTGTGGGGACACAATTTAGAAAAGTAGAAAGTTAAGCTTATTTTATGTAGAAAACATGTTTTAAAAATAAAAATAATCAAGATAGTCCGTGACTTTAACAATTTTGTGAAATTTCTTTTTTTTTGGTCCATTAGAGATTTCGAGTCAAAATGTACAGTGTTAGTGCTATAAATAATCAGCCAGTCTTGATGATATTCGTAAAGTATTGATCTGAAATATTCGTATCATCGTCTTTGAAAGAGATTGGAGTGCCCGGAGTTGTTGTATTAGATTCATACATTTTTAAGGGAAGCGTGCCACACTTGTATGCCGTGGTTTCAAGTCGAACAGTTCCTTGTCTAACACATTTTCCATGTGTGTTTGCCCATGTGTGTAAGAGACTTAGCTCATTTTTTTGAATCAAAACGGTATAATTGAGGACCTGATCCGATCTAAAAGCTTATCTCTCAACTTACTGTTACATGTACTCTGATCTGGATCTACTCTGTTTCTAGATGCGATTCTGATTGAAGTATAATGAAAATGGCACTTTTATCTGTCCAAGGTACAGTTTTTTGTCAATCCCGTTATATTTCAACATAAAAATCCCGATTTCCCGTGGCAAAAAATGTGGCTTTCCCGTATCCCGATGTTTTTCTATCCCGAATTCCCAATCTTTAAATCTTTAAACAAGGCAATCCCGATTTCCTGTTGCTAAAATCGGCCGATCCCGGCGTCCCGAAAATGATCTCGCCCCCCCAAATACGACCAGGAAAAGCGGAAAAAAACATTTATAGTGTCATGGACAGAAAGATTCCCAATGGGCAAGGTCGATTGTTACTGATGATAAACAAGAGATGATGTTTTGTGAATATTGCCATTATTTTCCTGATCACGCTGATAAAAAGTCTGCTTTGTATGTGGGAACAACAAATATACGAATTGAACCACTGGTTTCACATGACAAGATCAATGAACATGTTTTCTGTGCCCGAAAATATTTAACAACCCATAGTACAAGAGATATCCAAAAAGATGTCTAGAGATCCTTGTTATAATTAATAAAACAAAAATTTATTTGATTTATTTTATCAAATACCGTGTATAATGCCGCATTCAAAACAAGGGACACCCACTCTAAATTTGTAAGGTATACTCGGGCTAGCAGGTCAGTTTTGATGGGCTAGCAGATCTTTCAACAGGGCTAGTAAAATCCTGCTACCAATAAGTCCTGGGCTAGTGAGCTGTAACAAATTTTTTTAACCCCTGCAATAATAACAGTTTGGATCTTGATCTGTAAGCTACATTGTCATTGTACAACAAACAGAAAAAATAACCAACATAAGATCTAGAGTTTATGCTTTTGATACCTGTAAGCTGTGAAATATTTGTTTACACGTTTTATATTCACTAATATAATTATATATCAAGTGATTTAATCAATCCTCTATAAACCAAATATGAGTCAGTGGAATTAAATGACCATTTGCTGGATTGGCTGCTTTTTATTTTTGATTGGAACATTCTTTTGTTTTTATTGTTTTTTAATTTATTCATAATTTTTTTCAGTAAATTAGAATGTCAGAAGAATATAAAGTAGGGAGCTTGTCTGATGTCATCCAGAAATCATCAAAAGCAAAGAAGAGAAAATCATCAGAAGGAGAAATAGCCAAGCTAGCTTCTTTGTTTGCTGCACCAGCTAAAAAAATTGAACCTGAGGCAAGGATTTATAATCCACACCTATTACAATGTATACACAGTACATTTAATTTCAAATCTGCCTTCATGTTTTTAATGTTTTATGATTGAAATCGTGCATTGTTATCATTGTTATGTATAAATAAACAAAATTCAAACACACAGTTTATTGAGAACAACTCGTTGGACTAAAACATATTTCTTCCCTTCAGATATGTATCTTTTGACACCTCCCTGGAAATGTAACACATTGAAACACCCATTCAAATTTCCATTTTGTACATATACATGTGCACACTGTTTAGGTTTACTGTACTTTGCATTTAAACATCTGTATGTTTGGGTAATCCTATTTCAATTTTGCATGACATGCACAAGTGCCAGTATTACATATGGAAAATTGTGTTACTAAATTCATGTATTATGTATAAAAAGAAGATGTGGTTTGATTGCCAATGCGACAAATCTCCACAATAGACCAAATGACTCAGAAATTAACAACTATCGGTCACCGTATGGCATTCAACAATGAGCAAAGCCCCTACCACATAGTCAGCTATAAAAGGATCCGAAATGACAAATATAAAACAGTTCAAATGAGAAAACTAACAGCCTATAGATATAGGAAGATGTGGTATGAGTGCCAATGAGACAACTCTCTAATTTATATACAAAATAATGAACGAAAAATCAAATATGTAACACAGCAACAAACGGCCACCACTGATGTGCATATAAATTAAACACTATAATTCAAAATAGAATCAGAGCATGATGTCCAATTATTCTGATTGGTCAATTATAAATTTCCAGCAGATTCCAAACTCTGTGTGATTGTTTGTTTCAGATTTATGCATAAAAGAAGATGGTTTTTTGTGTATTTTCCTCTTGAATTTTAATTTTAATGTATTTTTTTACACAGTTTACTCAGTCCTTTTGGACCTATTATAGTATAATTGCCATTAAGATATATGTTAAACTAAATCCATACTGTTTATCATTGATATTTATTTTAACTTTGTTTGATTTAAATTACAGCCAATTTCATATGTCAGTACAAAGAACACAACATTAAAGACTGTCAATGTCACTAAAAATAAAGAGAAGAAAATTCATAAAAAAAGAAAGACAGGATTGGACATAAGTATACCTACACAGAATCAAGAAGGCTTTGACCCACCCCCAGGGATAGTTCATGAATCATTGCTTAAGGACACTACAGATAGGTATTCTTCTTGAAAACCGTTGTAGTATATGTTTAAGATGTAATCATATCTGCATACTGAAAATTAACACATTTGCTTATTTATTTTACTAAAATTACAAAATCACACATTTAAAAATTGTAACAAGATGTTTTACATGAGTAAACAAATATCAATACAACAAATACAAAAAAAAGGAAAAGACCAGAAGTTCAGCAAAATGGTTGCACCAGGATTATCTCCCCTTCTAAAATTGTGTACACAGGAGATTACCTCCCTTATCAGATTAATCTATAGAGAAGTTTGTCTCTCCTTTAAATTTGATTTATGGTCAAAGACTGATGTTTATTTCTGCTATTTTTTTTATTTTAAAAGAATAGAAGCAACCGTGTTATAAAATGTTGTGTCTAAAAATTCGCTTGACACCAAAATATTTGAGCAAGCCAGACAACTTGTGTGTACTGTAATTATAAACTTCCCCAAACGGTTCTCTAGGGCTTATCCATTTAAATGAATATGGTAGAATAGTGGGGGAGTTTTGTTTTCTGACATAGGTACTCGGTCATTTAATGTTAATAACAGTGATATCTTTTTGATGAATCAGAATGCAAAATAATTTGAAGATGGTAGGTTAGTTGTGGTGGGTTTTTGAAAGTTCCTTCCTTTTCCCCTCAATTTTAAATGGAATAGACCTCAATGTATCCAACAGGAGGAAAAAGATCAAAATAACCAAGAAGTACATGTACAGAAAACAATTGTGCTATATAGTATGATTAATGAATAGAAAGAAATTTCAAAGTATAAAATGCTCTGATTGATTTGTAGGACTGGTGAAGGCGAGAGTGAAGGAACAAATTTGGTAGGGAGAAAACCTCGACATAAAAGGAGAGACAGAACAAAAGATTCAAGAACTGTATTTGTTGGGAATCTCCCATTATCATTTGATAAAAAGGTTAATGAAATACTTCCATGATTACAGCCTATATTTATTTCATTTTCCTTTCAGGGAATGGTCTAAAATATGCTTTTCCAGTAATAATTACCTAAGGGGGATAACACCCACTGTTTTTAGAAAAAAATAACATGAATGAAAACTTAAAATCATCCTCAACCAACAGAAACAAATGTTTAGTGTTGCATGGTCTTACTGGAATAGCCCTTTATTTTTCATCATTAAGGTGGTTTAATTGAAAGATTGGCATATTGTGTAATTACCCATTGTTGAAGACTATATGTTGAACTCTTAGATGTGTTTCTGGTTTTTTTATGACTTTTTGACATATACCTTATATTTCCTTTGACCAGTAATTATATTTATATTTTCAGCAACTCATGAAGATTTTCAGATCGTGTGGTAAAATAGAAAGTGTCAGATTCCGGTGTCCAGTAAGTGTCTGCCTCATTTTACCTAGTGGTTTGATTAATTAAATAGTATGCTTTGTTTACATGTACGTATGGAGTATTAAATAATGGCTGCAGCCTGAGCTCTGATATTCAGCTAATTGATATGGGCTTTTAGTTACTACGAAGAATTAAAATACTTACGGTATTCATGAATTACTTATTTTCTATGATACTTACAGAAAAAGCAAATCAAACAGGTTCTTCAGCAATCCTTATGTTACCTACTTTATAATACTGTGGATTAAATTTGGTACTAATTTGGGGGGATCAAGAAAAAAATGTATTTTTGTAGAAATCTACTTGTACCGATAAAAAAATGTGTACTTAGTTGATTTTTTTTTTAATTCTTGATACACCTGTACCCAAGAAATCAACAAATAATAATGAAACGACAGTACAATACTTTTACTTGAAATGACAATTGAAACTTTCAAAAACAACAGTGAACTTGATTTCATGGTCAAACTAACAAACAGTTAAACCTAAATTTGTTGTAGTATATACACAATTGATTAGTTAAGCTGTAACAATGTAGAGCAATACTATAGATAATAAGGACTAACAGGTTCCTACATGAAGCTGAATAAGAGGTCTATCTATTCTTCCTGCAGTATGAGAAACTCCATATATATTTTAAATGTTTACATCTTCAAACTTTCTTTTTCTAAAATTTATACTATTTACTTATTCACTCCTGGTATTATGGTGTCTATCATCATAAATGTATAAGTTCCAAATAATCAATGTTTATCAGAATAACATAAAAAGGAATTTATTTTATATTTGTAGCCACCTGCAGATTTGAAATTACCAAAGAGAGCCATTGCAATCACGTAAGAATGTACAACCTATTATTATCATCATGATACAAGTTTTCAAGAGTTGTCTTTCCCTGTGTGGAGGTGTTCTTACATAGTTTATTTAACATATGTTCATGAATTTATTATTTTAATTTTCTTAAATTCAAATTTTTGGGATGTTCAACAAACGTTTTTTCTTAAATGTATCAATTGTTGGTCTAAAATGTTTTTAATGATTGCGGCTTGCTGAAAACATATGTAAGTGCAAAAAACATCAGGAAGAATTCCTCAAATCAAAATAAAATGGATAGTATGATGAACACCTCCAAAAACAATTGTCAAAACTAGAACAAAGGGAGGTAACTACACAATAAAAAAAAATTGATATTCTCGATGCAATTGTCTAGTTTCTAAATTCAAAAACTCAAAATGTTGCCTTCAATTTGGACAACTTTATTGAGTAAAACAAAATACATTTAAATCTGGAGTTACTATCGGCAAAAAATAGTTTAGTAAAAGCCTAATTTAGAATTTAGACAATAAAAACTCATCAATCAAACTAAGGAAAAGTACAGCCACATGACTAATCTATACCGGTAATAAGATAATGAACTTTTCAATGGTTTTTTATACGAGCGCAAAAAAATTTTTTGTGGTCGTATATTGGTATGGCGTTGGCGTCGTCGTCGACGTCGTCGTCTGGCGTCGTCCAGCGTCGTCCGAAGACACATTGGTTTTCGCACTCTAACTTTAGTTTAAGTGAATGGATCTCTATGAAATTTTACCACAAGGTTCAATACCACAAAAGGAAGGTTGGGATTGATTTTGGGGGTTATGGTACCAACAGTAAAGGAATTAGGGGCCACAAAGGGGCCAAAAAGGGGCCAAAAATAAGCATTTTTGTAACTTCCAGACATAACTTGTGTGTTAGTGTATGGATCTCTCTGACATTGTACCACAAGGTTCCATATCACAAAAGGAATGCTGGGATTGATTTTGGGGGTAATTGCCTCAAAATATTAGGAATTAGGGGCCAAAAAAGGGGCAAAAAAACAAGCATTTTTCTAGTTTCATGACAATAACTTGTGTGTAAGTGCATGGATCTTTCTGAAATTGTACTACAAGGTTCCATATCACAAAGGAAAAGCTGGAATTGAGTTTGGGGGTAATTGCTGAAACGTTTAGGAATTGGGGGCCAAACAGGGGCCAAAAATAAGCATTTTTCTAGTTTCCAGACAATAACTTGTGTTCAAGTGTATGGATCTCTCTGAAATTGTACTGCAAGGTACCATACCACAAAGGGAAGGCTGGGATTGATGATGGGGGTAATTGCCTCAATATTTTAGGAATTAGGGGCCAAAAAGGGGAAAAAAACAAGCATTTTTCTAGTTTCAGGACAATAACTTGTGTGTAAGTGTATGGATCTTTCTGATATTTGATTACAAGGTTCCATATCACAAAGGGAAAGCTGGGTTTGAGTTTGGGGGTAATTGCCCTAATTGTTTAGGAATTTGGGGCCAAAAAGGGGCCAAAAAACACATTTTTCTAGTTTCCAGACAATAACTTGTGTTCAAGTGTATGGATCTCTCTGAAATTGTACTGCAAGGTACCATACCACAAAGGGAAGGCTGGGATTGAGTTTGGGGGTGATGAATCATAAGGGGGTTCAAAAAATTTGGGGGGGGATTTTTTTTTTTTTTCCTTTTTTTTTTCTTTTAAAATTTTCCATTTTAAGTTGGTTATTTCTGATTTATATTTAAAAGCAAATAATAATGATATGGTAGGAGATACACACCAAACAGGATGTGTAAATTATTATGTAATAAGTATTGTGCAATAGCAAGAAATTTTCAATTGCACAGTATTGCACAATAGCAAGAAATCTTCAATTGCACAGTATTGCGCAATAGCAAGAAATCTTCAATTGCACAGTATTGCGCAATAGCAAGAAATATCCAATAGCACAATATTGCGCAATAGCAAGAAATTGTCAATTGTACAGTATTGCGCAATAGCAAGAAATATTGAATTGCACAGTATTGTGCAAAAGAAGATACTTCGTATAAATTGCTTATTTCTTGACCAATTTCAATGTGGTTTTATTCTTGAATTCTTGGGGTTCTTTAATATGCTGAATCTAACCGTGTATTGACTTTTTGGATTTTGGGCCCCGTTTTTAAATTGGTCCACATTGAGGTCCAAAGGGTCCAAAATTAAACTTTGTTTGATTTCATCAAAAATTGAATTATTGGGGTTCTTTGATATGCCGAATCTAACCGTGTATTTAGATTCTTAATTTTTGGTTCCGTTTTCAAATTGGTCTACATTAAGGTCCAAAGGGTCCAAAATTAAACTTAGTTTGATTTTAACAGAAATTGAATTCTTAGGGTTCTTTGATATGCTGAATCTAAACATGTATTTAGATTTTTGATTATGGGCCCAGTTTTCAAGTTGGTCCAAATCGGGGTCCAAAATTAAACATTGTTTGATTTCAACAAAATTGAATATATGGGGTTCTTTGATATGCTGAATCTAACCATGTATTTAGATTTTTGATTTTTGGGCCCCGTTATCAACTTTGTCCACATTGAGGTCAAAAGGGTCCAAAATTAAACTTTTTTTGATTTCATCAAAAATTGAATTCTTGGGGTTCTTTGATATGCTGAATCTAACCATGTATTTAGATTTTGGATATTGGACCATAATAGGTGAATGTCCAATTTAAAATTTTTAAGTTCTTAGACCACATTCATTCTGTGTCTGAAACCTATGCTGTGTCAAATATTTAATCACAATCCAAATGCAAAGCTGTATCAAGCTTGAATGTTGTGTCCATACTTGCCCCAACTGTTCAGGGTTCGACCTCTGCGGTCGTATCAAGCTGCGCCCTGCGGAGCATTTTATTTAGACATGTTGTATCAGAAATTCTGAGCTATCTTATTGCAAGAATCAGCTCTTTAATTATTCAATGTAAGAGATGCCATTCAAAATGTGTCTGTATGGGGTTTAATGTAGCCTATAATTTTCTATAAAAAAAAATTCATCTCTTAAACTTTGGTCAATACAAAATAGACTGACTATATCCAGTGCAGTGACCTCCTTTGTTAGCCAAGTCACTGTAAGTAAAGAAATTAACAAGGGAAGTTGATAAGTCAAGATCACCACCATAACTTTACATAGAAGAAGGCATAAAATAGAAAAAAAATTGTATTGATGGCTGGCTGTTAAACAGCGAAGGTTTCTAGGAACACTAATTTTAATGGCAATTTTGAAAACAAAATATTGAATGTCTTTAGCATGCTTTTATTAATTTGTAGGAAAACATTTCACAAAGACAGACATAATATCATATCCTATGTATGCTTTGAAGACGAGGAAAGTGCCAGAAGGGCTCTATTATTGTAAGTTACATTTTTAAAGAATTTAAGATTTGTAATTTGAAAATGATTTAATACTGTAAATTCTGAAATTATTGCGATGTAAATGTGACAGGATTGAAATCGCAATAATTTAAACTCTCATTTTGGATTTTTTTTTATATGAATGAAGCTGAATTTTTCTGAGTATCGCCAAAAAATAATAATCAAATTTTGGTCTAAAATGACAAAATCATGATAATAAATGTACACAATAATTTCTGAGTTGACAGTAGATCAAATTTTGCTTGGTATTTGTATCATTCTTTATAGAAGGACAATACATAGGGAACATACATTATATGTGATCATGAAAAAGTTACTACCTATAGCAGCAGATACTAATTTTAAGCTGTGTTGTTGAATGAACTAAGCTGGGGATAAAGCCATGTCTGCAGACAACTGAGACAGTCATTGGTGTTGATTGAAATTATTGATTCTCATGTATGAAATTAATAATAATTCTTAATTTAAAGAGGATAATACATTTAGCTATGCAACTAGTCTTCCCCGAGACCCTTATGAAAAACAATGAATTTAAAATATAACAAATAAAAATTTCCAAAAAAAAATCAAGCAATCAAACATAAGCATGACATGCTAAGTATATTTGCTTATGTTACATTATAGAAATGGTCAGGACATTGATGGGTATCACATTAGAGTGGATATATCTAACAATGCAAAGAGGGTAAGCTATGATATTTTATCAATATTCAGATGTAATTCAACAAGATCTAAAATGATACAAAATTTCAAAAGATTTAGATAAAAAAATTCCCAATTATGCTTACTTAACTGTATTACTTGTTTTGATTTAAAGACTTTTAGGTCTAATTTTAAAAAAAAATTACATTCTTGTGTCCCTCTTTTTATTATTATTTTCAGTGACTTGTTTTTGTGGGTGTATGTAAACCTCAAATTTTAATGTTCAACAAATTAAAAATTTTCTGTAGGCTTGTATGCAAACTTTGGCAAAATATCTACGAAGATACCATTTTCCCTCAATACTCGATTATAAATAAAATTTAAAAACTGTTCAAATATATTTGAAACAATTATGATATTTTTTCATTACAGCATGACGATGCCAATACAGTCTTCATTGGAAACATGACTTATGGTAAGTTGGTTCATATAAGTATTTTTGTTAATCTGTTGTAGAACAGACAGATAGTGTCCATTTATTTAGTCTTTATCCGATACTTTTGCTCCTGAAAAATCTAGTTTATTGACCAATTATAGATAAGAATAATCTGAATCAGCTGTTATAACATCAGCAAATATTGCTGTCAATAATTTGTAAACTAAAGAAGTTTAACCTTAATAATGCCTTGAAAATAAAGTTTCCATAAAATTTTGGTACAATCATTTGACATGGGCATTTTAGCTCCTGGAAAAGAATACAAGTCTACTCATTAGTCATGCTTCAGTGTACTTGGAGTTACACATTATTGATATATACATTTTTCCTGACATATAAGTTTATTTAGTTTTAAACAGATTCAGTTTCATGTTAAAGTTTTTAATTTGTTCAAATGCTAAATTTTATGAATCTCTGCCAATTTAAGGCCTGTGATATGAAATGGATATAATACTGAATCTGGACAATATTTGAAAATTTACATAAACTATGTGAAAGAGATATTGAATCATCAACCTCCAATAGCAAGTCTGTGTGCATGGTTGTGTGTGTTTCTATCCAAATGCTCTTGTAGCCAATAAAGAAATCAAATCTGATATGCAGCCTATTTCCATTATTTGATTATTGATTTAAAGGTCAGGGGTCAAAAGTAATAACACTATTTAACACACTATGATTAAGACATGCAGTTACTTTAGTCCAGTTGTGCATCTAATCCATCAATTATGATCCAATTCTTTGCAATAGGAAGCGCTTGAGTCCTATTTAAAGATCATAGGCCAAGGTCACAACACTACTAATCAACTTGTGTAAACTTTGTTTTACTCATAAATTGCATCAATATATCGGTTTATCGATACAAGAAAACTGGTATTACAAATTAAGTAGAAACATATTTATGAGATTAAAGCTTGCGTGTGGTCCATTAAGGTCCAGTTTTCATCAAACATTGTTCAAGTTTGATCATTGGGAGTCCGAGAGTTTGAGAACTTTTTATTTTTCAAGGTCAATTATACCTGATAGCATTATGAAACATAACAACAAACTTTAATGAGTAATTGTGAGGGGTTTCACACATGGTGACTTGTCAGTTTTAAAAGAAAAAACTAAGAAGTAACATCTAAGGTCTAAAAATTTTACGAATCTGTGTTTGAAATATACTGCGAGATTTTAATTACAAATGTAGTTGTCATTTACATGATACGAATTTCTGATTTTCTAGATATAACAGAAAATGAAGTATGGAATCATTTTGAAGATTGTGGAGAAATAGAGAATGTCAGAATTATACGAGATAATAAAACTGGCACAGGAAAGGGAATTGGATATATACAGTTCAAAGTGAGTATCTACTTCAGATTTTGGAATGGGTAAACTTATTACATATCGGTACATACAGTTAAAGGAAAGTAAATAATCTATACAATGATAAATCCAGAATTTGCAAAGATTTCAGATTGTTTGATGGTTTAACAATGAAATTTTGCAGGAATATGAAATTAACTAAGCTTTCTAATTATATCCCAACTCACGGGGTGTTGTAAACTACATTCACCTAGCTGTCCATTACTTTTGTTATGTTTTTTTTTTTAAATATTTGATAGTTGGTTTGGAACAAAAGATTAATGAGTTTTATTGTGTAAGCCATTGCCAAATCCCATGCTGTTATATGATACTTTGATTTTTTTCTAATACCTACTGAGCATGGAAATTTTCTGTCACATATTTCTCAGCCTCTGTATTATGAGGGGATAATTTGATATTTGATTCCTTGTTCTACAAGGTCCAAGATGTAAATCACAGGGAATCTTAAAATACAAATACAGAACACAAACAGCTTACAGAGAGTAGTTGCTTAATCTGGACTTGGTTCCACAAAAGTCAATAAATATTATTAAAACTTCCCTTAAATTTCAAAGATTGAAATAAATCATAAACAAATACAACAGATTTAATTTACACTTTAAATTCAAATGTCTTTTACTCTTTTACTAAGTCTTAGTTTTGATTGATGTTTGTGCCACCCAGGTCTGATTGCTTACTATCTGTAGTTCTCTCCCTTGGACAAACTAAATACAAGATGTTGACTCAGGTAATGTTGAAGTACTGTGAAAGTACTTTAATTCGTGGGTATCAGTTTTCGTGGTTAGAACAAAAGTTACATGTTTGTGGGTTTTTAATTTCGTGGATTTTAGTTTTCTAAAAAAAAAAAAACAAACAAATAGAGTGTAGAATTGAAGCCATTAGAAACGAAGATTACAAATTGCCTTGATTGAAGGAAATTGCAAAGTAAACATCTAAATTGTTGCAACCGTGTAGTGATGACACTAATTAACCTGGGATCGAGCGATCAACAGATTAAAGACCATCAAAGGTGTTATTTAGGCTATAAACATGTCACTTAAACAATAATAACAATAAACATAAACAAATGCTATAAATGTACATTGAATTGTTAAATTAATTCTTATTAAAAGCAAGCCCAGCATGAAATTGTTATTTCCCGTACAAGAATTATGAGGATATAAAATGAACACTTTATCATAGCATATCACCACCAGAAATCTGACTTTCATCGATCAAAAATATTTTTTATGAGAATTAAACAATCAGAAGTTGTACAGTTTAGGTTTTTAAAGATTAAATGGGTATAATCCTGCCTGCAGTTGTAGTTCATAGAGCATTTGCCCTGAGACTACTATAATAGTAGTCTCAGATTTACCGATATTCAATGTATTCTCTAGATCATATCGGTAGTCAAACCTACATGGGAATCTTTTCATGTCTTGATTTGGGCAACAGTTGTTATATTTCGTTGGACACTTAAATTCGTGGATAAAGTCATCCACGAAAACCACGAAAATTGGTTCCCCACGAATAAAAGTACTTTCACAGTACCTAGACTGCAAAGACATCAATGGACAATATAAAGTGACATTATTTTGGTTATAACTTAACATTCCCTTTAAGTTCTTAAAGTGAAAATTTTTATGGTATTTGGTATGCAGTTTTATATGCTTTGGCATTTTTCATGTCCATCGAGATTATTTAGCCCTGCACTTTCAGTCATGGTTTATTGACTTTGAATGTTTTTCATAATTTACATATTTAAATATTGCCATTGAGATTCAACGTTTTCATTATACTATCAAATAACAAAAAAGTGAGACATATCTGTGTGTCAACAGTTTACTTACCTTTTTAGCTCACCTGGCCCGAAGGGCCAAGTTACCTTTTCTCATCACTTGGCTTCCGTCGTCCGTCGTCGTTAACTTTTTACATTTTACACTTCTTCTAGAGAACCACTTAATGGAATGAAACCAAACATGGCATGAATGTTCCTTATGAGGTGCTGACCAAGTGTTGTTACTTTGAAGCCGATCCATCATCCAAGATGGCCGCCAGCGAGGGACTTAGTTTAACATAGGACCCTATGGCAGTATGGGAAATACATACGAATGTCGTCTTTTAGAGAACCACTGAATGGAATGAAACCAAACATGGCATGAATGTTCCTTATGAAGTGCTGACCAAGTGTTGTTACTTTGAAGCTGATCCTTCATCCATGATGGCCGCCAGCGGTGGGACTTCCTTTAACATAAGACCCTATTGGAAATACATACAAATGCTTCTTCTAGAGGTGCACTGAATGGAATGAAACCAAACATGGCATAAATGTTTCTTATGAGGTGCTGATGAAGTGTTGCTACTTTGTTGCTGATTTACTGTTAAAGATGGCCACCAGGATTTTTTATTAAATTACAGGACCAATATTAAACCAAATTTGGCCTCTCATTATTAGGGTATCTGTTATGATTTTAATCTATTTTAACATGATTTCCAAAACCAAAGTAGAATCAGGTGAGCTACACAGGCTCTTGAGAGCCTCTAGTTTCAACTGGACCAAATCACTACTTTACAGTGTAATTTCATCCCCCTACTTACTATTTTGTGCATATAACATGAAGAAATAAATTGGGAAGGTGTATGCATTTTTTTTTACACATATTACACTGTCCACAAAAAAGGCTACAGTATACATGTAGACAACAAAATCAAAGGACATAACTGTCCTTCTCTGTGTTCTCTGGGCATATATTAAATCATAAACCTTTTGTCTGAAACTTAGATGATGATTTAATTGTTCATTACAGTTATTGGTGTGTTTTATATTTTACAGGAAAATGACGGTGTTATGTTTGCTTTAAAGTTCCATGAGAGTCAATTAAAGGGGAGACAACTGAGGGTTATGAGATGTGATGTGAAAGCAGCCCAGAAACAGAAAGAAAAAGTATTATTTTTTTATTTTTCAGTTTTTTATAATCTGTATATTTATAATAGTTCTGATTAATGGACCAACACCGTTACATTCAAAAATTAGAATCTTGTTAAATTTAAAAAAGAATTATTTTTTTATACACTGGATGCTAGCTGGGATGGCAAAATTGTTAAACAATACTTAAATACAGTATTTCCCATTGATTAAGTTTAGCTTGAAATAATCGTACAAAATAAATACAAATTACATGCCTGTCCTTTGTAATTAGGACCTCAGTGAATGAAAATGTGTTTTTCTGCTTGTACACTCTTCTTTTTCTTCCTTATTTGATGTTGTTATTTATTCAGTTGCAGAATTTAATGCTGATTATAACATCTCCAGTCCTCCCTATAGGAATTTATGAGTTCACATCTTGTCATTTATCTATGTAATTATCCAGTTTTCCAACCATTGTCCATTTTGTTATTGACACTAATAGTAAGCTTTTTAGAATATGTTTGGTTATTGACACTAAAAGTAAGCTTTTTAGAATATGTTTGAACAATTGTTCATTTTGTGATGATAATTAGTTGAAGGGGGCGGGGAGATTTTTTCTGTTAAGGTGTTTTAGGCATTTATAAACTTTTGTGAACTGTTATTTTGAAAATATATGTGCTGACTAATTAGCTGTTGTCTGTTTTCTTAAAATTGACATTGTTGTTAACTGTTATTGTGAAAAAATAACCCCTGTTAACTGTTTTTTGATTTTTGAATTCAGTTTTTTCATTTAAGATAATTTAAATTGCTGTTATCATTTATCAGTATTTATAAATTTACTGTTTAATCTGTTTTGAGCAAAATCAAAAATTGTTAACCTGTTAATGGACCCCCTCTTGCCCCCCTTTAGTTGTAAGATGCCATTTTGTATCCCCTGTAGCTGCAGTAGTAATGTTGAATCCCGTGATCTTGTTTGACGTTTCGTCTCGTTAATGGAGTGTATTACCGCATTGATGTCACCTATTAGAGAAAAAGATGCAAGCAACATAATTTATACCTTATTTAATTATCTTATCTATCTCACATACATTAATGCATTTGTAAGGATAAGTTATTTTTTAATTGAGATTTATTGTGGTAAATGGGAGATAAGCCGATTTGTACCATGTTCCATTGCCAATTTAAAAAAAATGCATTATACATCTGATACCTACCTTTACATTATGTTAAAGTAACATCATAAGTCTGGCATTTTTCTATATTAAGGCTACACCATTTTGGAAAGTGGCAAATAGGGATTTTATATCATTGAATGATGTCTTCAAACCTTTTGATTTGAATTTGTTTTTATTTTCTGAATACCTTGTACTTTAGTGTAGTAAGGACAAACTTAAGAATATGTATGATAACTTTTAAATTTGCAGTAATATTTGGTCAAAATAAGGACCTTATTGCCCCTACTCCTTTATTGAATATTAATATTTATTTTGCCATTTGAAGATCATGCCCTAGAATAAATTCTGATTACAATTGACATTTTTGGGTACTGCAACAAAGTAATATTGTGCTAAATAAAATGCATAGTAACATACTTTTCAAATAAGGCATGATCTTCAAATTGAAAAAATATATATGAGCATGTTTTAGTTTTTATAATTCCTCAACCTTTTAACAGATGATAATCAGTAAAGAAAGGAAAGCCTATAAATCTGGACCAAAACCTGGCAGGGATAATAAGAAACTGAGCTTCAGAAGTACCAATAAGAAGACTGATCCATTTCAGCATTTGAGTGACAGGAAAAATAAACATGTAAAGAAATCAAACAAACAAAAACATTTCAGATTTGATGAGAAAACAAAAGGACAACCAAAAGGTCAACCAAAAGGTCAACCAAAAGGAAAGAAAACCTTTAATACAAAAGATAAAAAAACGAAAAGCAAGAAAATGAATAAATGATACTGGAATTTAAAATTGTTTTTAATTTGGGGATTAAAGTTGGTAATCCAATTTCAGATCAAAGGAGTTTGTCATGATGTTCTTTTTATGCTGTTTTGGGGTAAATGCAATCAAAACCCTATGGTACTGACTTGATATCTATATCTTCCAAGGTTTATCACTACCTTTGATAGTTCAAACAAATAAGTGCAGCGAAATGATCATATTTAGATCCTATCCAGTCAATGTCATGCAATTTATTGAGGATGTGTAACCCATATGATACACTTTGATATTTAGTCACAATATGATGTGTAATTGAATTACAATATTTGTCAAGAAAACATTTTTTTATTAAAAATTACATAATAAATGCATAGTTTATGAATATGTTATGAAGATAGCGTCAACTACAAATGTACAATCATGAACAATGGACGATAACTCCAAATCAAATTATTTTTCATATGTTCAGCAAAATACAATTCAATGTTTTATTTAAAAATTCACAAAATTGCAAAATGAAAGCAATCTTTACCCTTCAGTGCTCACAAGCACTTTGATTTTTTATAGTTTTAGCAGCTATAGTGAAAATGTGTCACATCTTTTCTTAGGAAGACAAGATTTTAAATTTGTATACTAATTTTTTCTTCTATGACAAATTTATCCATAAATATCAACTCAGCTTCTTCATGCAAGGTGTGTCAGGAAATTTAAAGGTAAATAAAATCCTAATAACATATATATTTATTAAATTTACAGAATAAAACAATTGTCAACTGATATTTGTCTCGCCTTGAGGGAGTAAAAAAATAAAGACATAGGTATGCTGTTTCCGGCGGCAGCAGGCATCATCAACAATGTATTAGTTTGTGATTAGGTCGAGTTTATGGTGAACCACAAGTGGTAGGTCAATCCCATTTCCATGGAGATTATTTGGCCCTGCCCACTGTCATGGTCTTTTGACTTTGAAACTTTTGAATAAAATTGAGAATGGAAATGGGGAATATGTCAAAGAGACAACAACCCGACCAAAGAGCAGACAACAAAGTTTACATGTACTGTGGATTCATTATTATTTGTTGGATACCAATTTTCGTGGATATCATGGGTACAGGTGAACCAAGAATTTAATAGTTCAACAAATTACCGGTACAAATTGTCTATGGGTTTGTATGCAGACTTTTGCAAAAACCAAGAAATCAAATATCCACGAAAATGTAAGATTTCCTCAATCCACAAAAATTGGTATCCACGAAAAATAAATGAATTCATAGTATTAGTTTGTGATTAGGGTTTTTTTGTGGTGAACCACTAGTGGTAGGTCAATTATATTTGGTATGCAGTTGTATTAGCATTTCCATGGAGCTTATTTGGCCCTGCCCACTCAGTCATGGTCTATTGACTTAAAAAATTTCTATTAAGTTTATATGTAATAGTGTGTGATTAGGTCAGTTATTTGGAAACCACTTGTGGTAGGTCAAAGATAGTTGGTATGCAAAATTATTAACGTAGGCACATATCATTTCCATGGTGATTGCTTGGCCTTGTACCTTCAGTCATGGTTCATTGAATATTTTGTATACGTTACATGTTAAAAGTATTGCTATTTTAATTTCCACATTGGCATTTTACTATCAAAATAACAAAAAGGCGAGAAATATCTCTGTGTTAACAGTTTATTATAGTTTGTTCATATGTTGTGATGTTACATCACTGTCCCCGGATAAGGGGAAGGTTGGGCACAAGTAAACTTATTTAACCCCGCAACATTCTGTATGTTACTGTTCCAAGTCAGGAACCTGTAATTCAGTAATTGTCATTTGTTGCTGTACATGTACATGGTTTACTTTTACAAATTGTGACTTGGATGAGAGAGTTGTCTCATACCACATCTTCTTATATCTATGTATATCATATTTGTCTTGTTCATTGTTTTGTACATAAATAATGTCGTTAGTTTTCTCGTTTGAATTGTTCTACATTTGTCATTTTGGGGCCTTTTATAGCTGACTGAGCGGCATGGATTTAACTCTTTGTTGAAGGCTATACGGTGACCTATAGTTGTTAACCTCAATGTCATATGGTCTCTGTTGGAGAGTTGTTTCATCGACAATCATACCACCAGGGTTTCCGCAGGTGGTCGCCATTTTCGCATTTTGCGAAAAAATTAAAAATGTGGCGATTAAAATTCATTTTTGGCGAAAGAAATGTAACATTTCTCAAATATTTTCCCAGATCAGACAATACTGGGAATTCACCTTAAAATTAACGATTTTGATAGAAAATCAATAATCAGCTGATTACATTTTATAGTTGTTGGTAACAATGGACTAATTAATAAAGGTGTCGATTGTATTGTTTAATGAAATGGTGTGGTTAAATGGCTTCACATGTCACCTAAAGGATTTTTTTGTGCTTTGAAGTGGGTACTTTCCAATCGTTTTAGAGACACATGTGTTTGAATCATAGTGTTTGTTTTGACGATGGCCCAGAAAAGAAAAATCTTTGACTCTAGTCTTTATCCTTCAAACAGTCGTGAAGAAATTCCGATAAACTTATGATATCGAAGATTAATCCTGTGTTCCTAAAAGTAAAAAAAAAAAAATGATGTCATGATCTATGTTGCAATTTTACAGTATCTTTTAAAAAGTAAATGTTTGTTATAAATGAGTGTTTATTTATTCCAATGCAGATAAAAAAATAAATATGTAGAATTGTAGACAACAATGCAGCAAACTGAATTTGTTAGAAAGAAGGAAAATTTTAAACAATTGTTTATGTAATAGTTGGCGAAAAAATTTAAAAGTGGCGAAAAATATATTGTTTTGGCGAAAGAGTTGGCAAAAAAGAGATGGACCCAGGGGAAACCCTGCATACCACATTATAATTTTTTATTGTAGTTTGGAAGTATAAAAATTCAATTTTTAAATTTAACCCACAACACAAAATGCTTTTATATAGAAACTGATAGTGATCAGTGATAATTAAAATTAAATGTATTCTTTCAGTAACCATCAAAACATTAATATTAAATATACAGAAACATTTGAAAATATACATTCTATACTGGTTAGTGTTTACACACAAAGTGACAATCAGGCATTGTTTTGCCAAATAATTTGACAAAAAAAGTTGATTGACCATGTCATATGGAATATGGCTTTATGGACGCTTTTAGATTTGATTGCTTGATTGATTGGAACTTGTCCATGTCCAGCAGCAAATATATTATTTGCATATATTTTCTGGACTATAATGTTTAAGATTCTAATTGTCAAATGAATATACCTTGTTTTGTACTTGACCTTCACACAGAGTTAAGTGTTCTAGTTCACCAAAAACATTCTAAGGAAGATATTTAACATTATTTTGTTTTAGAGTTTATCAACCTTTTCTCCTAAATAAGTAATTTGTTTCTTAAAAAAACATTTGAAAACCTATAAATTAAATCAATTTACCATATTTTTGCCATATGAGCGGGAAAAAAACTGCAACAATTACTGAACCAAGTGCAAAATTATGGACAAATTGCTGTCATTTAAAACAATGAAATTTTATCCCCATGGAAATTCACTCATTAAATGATCCTACATTTTCGCAGCAAAAATGTTAAAGTAAATCACTTGTTATTGAAGAGACTCTAAAAATATCTGTTTTATGAAGAATACTGATAAATCAACCTCTATATAATGGGCACTTATGCATTTAATGTGGTTAGACTGTATATAAAATTTAGTATCATTCTGTTTATACAAAAACAGTATCGTTCGTCTAAGGAAAATATATAGTGGAAAAAAAACACATTTTTAGGCCATGGAAAATTAGTCTTCAGTAGAAATCTGCAAAATTCCCTTCTGCCTAATGTTTAGTGTTATATTTTTGGTATCTGATAGAATGTTTTTTCTCCTTGCTTCAAACAACAGTTCGTTTATTGCGGAACACATGCCACTAATTTCGACAATGACTGTATCTAGTTTTATAGTCAACTCATCTAGGGTATTTTCTTTTTTCACTTCTTGGAACTTGTTGATTTTTTCGATTTTGTTGCAAAGCTGTTGGATCATGTTATCTTTCTCTCTGATTTCATCTAGAAGTGCTTGTATATGCTTATCTTTTTGCTTTAGTATAAGTTTTAAAGCTTCAATATCTTTCAAAGTGTTTTTGTCAGAAGACTGGGTTTGTTTGTAACCAACATATACCGGTATCTGTTTTCTTGTTTCACCCACTTCAGTATTTTGTCTCTTGTCTTCTGCCGCCTTTTCATGTGTGCATTTTCTTTTGCTGACCTTAAAAAAAGAAAACCATTTGAAGAAGAGTTTTTAAACATATCTTTTTTAAATGAATAGCTTGCATTTTCTAGAGAAAGATGAAAATTAATCATCTATAAATAAACCTTTTTGCTGTTATTTCCATACATGTAGGTATAAATAAGATTAGGCCAATTTTGCACAATAACTATATATGGTTTAATATCAAATATTGGTATACATTGTAATCAGGCGCTATAATTTATATTAAAGAGAATAAAACAAGCACACACATTTAGTTGGACACTAGGACCAACACAAAACCTAACATTGACAGACCTACGGTACCTACTTGGTGGTCAGGACCGACAAGACCGCTAGTAATCAAGATAACTGATACACATGTATTATCATTTGTATATTGTCTTAGGGAGGGATAAATCGTACTTTGTAAAAAATCCCTTTGATTCAAACAAAAATTTCTCTGAAAAGATGCTTGATGTCTTGATTTACAACTTATTTATTACGTTTGGAGGACGTGTTTTATACAAATAATCGGCATTCTCATGAGAACAAACTGTGCTCCTTTTATTGCCGACTTGTTCATTTGTTCATATGATGCTGACTTCATACAGAAGCTTCTTAGGAAGGAAGAAAGAAAAGAAGTAAGCACTATATTTTACTTCACTTTCCGATATAAAGATGATGTTCTCTCACTAAATAGTTAAAGATTTGGTGACTATGTTGAACGCATCTATCCTATCGAGCATGAAAGTAAGGATACAACATATACAACTTAGTCTGCCTCATATCTTCACTTACATCTA